AGGAAGACAGGACTGCGTTAATGAGGTGTGGGTTGGCCAGACCGGGAGCTGATTAGCTCTGGCACTGGGCTTTTCCTGAGCAGAGGCAGGAGAATCAATGCTAATCCCTTCATCCATTCAGGGTTCCTGCCGATCCCTGGGACAAACCCTTGCCTCCCTTCGATGGGGGCTGGAGCTGCAGCCTTGACTAGCACCACCGCGCATCTTCCTCTAAAATCTCCCCCACGCCGCCTCCCATCCCCGCGTCCCTGCGCCCGTGCCCAGAAGGTAGTGCCTTCCCCAGGCCACACCCGTCCTCTCTGCTCCTGGGCCCCCGCAGGTCTCATCCGCCCTGGGGGACTCCAGTGCTCAGAGGACAGAGGAGGCTGATTTCCTTCCCACATGCAGCGGAGGCTCTTAACCAGCCGCTCGCGGCTCCCTCCCTCTGCTCAGCTCGCTGACCGCTCTCCTGCCCTCTGCCAGCTCCAGCAGGTGTCTGCACAAGTGTGGAGCTGTGCACCCCCGCCCCGTGGCCCCTTCCTGCCCACGCTGGGCGGCGGGTCCCATGCTGGCGCAGAGTCCGAGGGTCCCTAGCATCTGTTCCCAGCCTGTTTTCAAAGGTCATGCTCGTGGGACTCACCACGGAACAGTATACAAGCCATGAGACCTGGGCTGGGGAGAAAGAAATGTGTTGTTTCCATGAAAACTAAGCCGAATGCTCTCAAAAGACTCCAGAAGTGAATGGGGGCAGGGGAGTCCTTCAAATTAGGTGAGAGTACTGGTGGGAAAAGTTATACAAATTCTAAAGGATACTGCACTCAGGTTGCACATCAAGTGCCCCTCAGGTCTCGGCTCACTTTAAAGAAATCACCGTGGAGGACGCGCACAAAGGCTCGGGTGACTCCGGAAACGCCAGGCAGAGCTCGCCCGCTGACTGTCAGCCCAAGAGCCAGCCAGGGCGAGTGGTCCACAGGGGGTGGGGGAATGGCTTCATATCGTGCCATATAGGGGACGTCACACATGGAACTCTCGCCTCTTTAAATGTTGCTTAAGTCGAAACATGTATCGCAGGGGTGTGTCATTGTGAAGGATTCTTCACTTTAAGACTCCTTTGGCTAATGAACTAACTTTGAGTAACATGGCTTTATCATCTGCCAGAGAAAAGAGTCTTGGGTGGTCTCTGAGCTTGTTCATAGGGGACCGTCAGCGCACTCATACGCGCATGCGCACTCAGTCTCTGCCGCCTCAGTCCTTGTACACCTGACGGAGCTGGGAAGGCCCCTCCCTGCGGCTCCCGCGGGGCTGGGAGGCCGCCTCGGCCCCGCCCTCGCTGCTGCGCTGCCCTGGGGACCCAGCGCACTGCCTGCCCACTCCAGGCCCTGAACTGTTCCCCTGTTGACTGGAATTAAATACACCTCCTCCTGGGGACCTGGGGCGTTGGTGACGAGTCCGCTTGAACACCTGCAGCCTCGGTGGAAAGCATCCCGTGCGTTTGGACTTGCCCGGCTTCGAAGCGCACCCCAGCCAGCCCGGCCTCCCTGGGGCTGACGCCTGGCTGGCTCCGTCCCAGCCTCGGACACCTCAGAGCCTTCCTGCCCGGCCCAGACACTCCCCAGCTCTCGTGCTCAGCTCGTGACACCGTAAAACCCCTAGATTCCTATAAATAGGTCTTTCCAGATGGCCAACTTCCCTGGATAATTGACCCTCAAATTATGACCGAGTTCCATGGACAGCTCTTATTTCGCCCTCTTGCCTTGACTTTGTCCTTCAATGCCCACCTGATCCCCACTTTTACCACGTAGGACCTTTCTTCATCCTCACGGATCCCTACCTGTTGCAGAACTAAAAATGCAGTCGAATTCTTCCAGTCCAGCCTCCATATTTTAAAGAAGAAGGTACAGGCCAAAGAGGACAGACGCTGGGTCCCCGTTCCCCAGGGGAGCCCCCAGAGCACTGTCCAGGCCACCTCTTCCCTTCTCCCTACCATGGCCGCCCAGCGCTCTGCTCTTGTCTGTAAACTACCACAGCACCTTTTCCACACTCCGTCCACCCCCTCTACAGCCTTCCTGTGTGTCCCGTGGAGCACCCGAGAGCACCCGGGGTGGGCGGAAGCACTTCCTCATGTCCACACTTGGTCAGCGACAATGGCGGCCGAGGCTGGTCACAGGTACGAGTGACCGCAGTGGACCCTGGATCCCCACCGTCACTCATGCTGCCTGCGTAGTGGCCTTCAGCCACACCTGGTCACCCCCACCCGACTTTCTCCAACACCTCAGGCACCCTGCCCTTGCCCCCGCCCACCTCCTGGCTTCCAGGTGGACTCCAGCCCCTCTTCCCTCTGGGTGTTGACTCTCCTGCCTGCTCCCACCAAAGGCCCAGGGCAGCTCCGGGGTCTGTGGTAGATGCAGCCCACAGGGCTGACCCCGGGGCCACAGACACACTGCCACCCTTCCTCCAGGCGCAGGCAGCAGGAAAAGGCCATGCAGAGCTGGGCGTCCCTGCTGCCTCACCTCGGACTTGGGCCTCGGATCTGAGGCTGGGGCAGTGTTGCCACCCCACCCCCAGCCCCAGGCCCCTTTCCCCAGGACCCCCGCTGCCCCAGGCCCCTCTCTCCAGGGGCCCCAGCCCCAGCCCTCCAGGCCCAGGCGCTATTTCCCACAAACCACCCCCTGGGCCAGCTGGCTTTCTTTAAGACGGGGGGCTCTCTCTGTTCTACTTAATAACTGCCTGGTAATTAGCTGCACGATTTTGCTACTATGCTTATAATAGCCTCCATTAAAGTTATGGGATTTTCAAGCCGTAATGACTTCCACAGTAATTAATGCACAACTGGGTTTATTGCTAAGTTTATTTTTAGAGTTTTCCTCCCTTATCCCCCCTCCCTTTCCTTTCGTAGATCTCTTGACCAGAGAGAAAAATGGAATGGAGCTGTCCCTCCACGGCCCCCTCACAGCCTTGCCCCTGTCCTTCTCCCGTGCCCCCCTGCTCCCGACTCTAGGAAGGTGCTGGGACTGCGTTGAGGCGGCCTCGTGGAGGAGGGTGGCTCCATGCCAGGGCCTCTCTGTGCCCCGTGCCCACCGTGCGCCTGTCCCAGTTCAGGCTTTCTGGGGCCTGGACCCTCCCTCCGCATGCGCCTGACGGCAGCCCAGGGCCAAAGGGCCTGGGGTTATGTCTGGCCCCTCCACGTCCTATCTGTGACCTTGGGTGAGCCACTGGTCCTTGCTGACCTCCGGGAATGCCACGTGAAAAACCCAGGGTCGTTGTGGTACTGAGCGTGGACTGTGGAGGGTCGCCTTTGGGCGGCACAGGAGCTCCCTAGCAGCCATCGTCACTAATCCAGCCCGGCAGGCCGGCCAGCAGGAGGCCGAGCAGTGCCAGAGCGGAGGGCGTGGCATGGAGGGGCTGCCTGGGGAAAAAGAGGGAAGACAGCTCAGTGAGTGTGCGACAGGCAGCAAGTGGGGTGTGCACATCGAATTGCCTCAAAGCTCCACTGGGAGCCACTGAGAACCGAGAGGAAAACCAGCCAGGCCGAAGATCAGCCAGCCAAACTGAGGCTTCGATCAGCCCCATCAGTGGTCTCGGAGGAGGGGAATGGTGGCTGGGGCTAAGGGTGTGGCATAAGACCACCCCACTCATTGCGCCCAGCACAGGAGACCCAGGCGGGCCTGGAGTGGACACTGGGCTCTGTCACCTACTGGGGCCGTGGAAGAGGTGTTTGTAGAAAGCACAGCACACACACACCAGCATTATTCTCCCCGTTCTGGGCGCCCAGTGCTGGTCTTTGCCTGGAACCTTCAACCCCACCAGGCCTTCCATTCCCTTGAGGAAATGGGGGGCAGCCCGTCTGCCTCTGCCTACCAGGGCACTGGAGGCAGAGCAGGGCTTCGGGGGGTGACAGTGAGGGGTTGGGGGCATGCTGGGGACCTGGGACACGGTGCTCTTTCCTGGAAGGCAGTATCTGGCTCTTCCACAAAATGTCAGAACTATTTGGAGCAAGGGCCAACCAGGAGGGGAACACACTGTTTTCAAATGTGGGGACCAAAGCAGCCCTCCATAGCTCTCAGCTCTGCCAGAGATGGAGAGCGCAGGCAGCTGGCCCCTGAGGGCCATCATGCTGGCCTCCGCATCATGTGTGGTGTGCAGCTCGGGAGGAGGAGGAAGGAGAATATGACGTGACATTTTCCAGGGTGGTCCTGGCCCCTGTGCGTGCTGTCCCTGTCACACAAGAGAACAAGCCCCCGAGGAGGAAGCTGCCGATCTGAGGCCACCTGGGCAGGCTCCCAATCCTCACAAGGGGGCACCTCTCCGGGGGCCTGCTGCCGCCGTTCCGAGTACTGTCCCCCAGGATTGGCTGTCCCCACTGGCACCTCCTCTTCTCCTGGCTGATACCCGCGCCAAGCCCAGGCTCTGCCCTATGCAGAGCGGCTGCGCGGCAGGAATTTCCTGTTGACATCGACAAAGGGAGGGCCCTTGCAGTGCTGCCTCTCAGGGCCTGTCCCCCAACATCTCTTTTCTGTCCTCAGAGGACTCACCCCAATGCTGACCCCCTTACCCAGGTTATGAAAAGAACACCGGGGCCAGACTTGCAGACAGGCCAGGCCTGAGCCCCCAGTCCGTGCACAGCAGGAGCCAACCTGAGGGTTTTCTGGGTGCTGACTTATGTTACGTCTCAGAATCGTCTTGTAAAGTAGCTGCTGATAGTGCCCCACTTCACAGATGAGGAAACTGAGGCACAGACAGTCGTTATAACTTGGCAGAGGAGCTACGGCTTGCTGGTGGCAGAGTGGGTATTTAAACCAAGGCAGGTGTGTCTGGAGTCCGTGCCCTTGGCCTCTGCGCCCTGCTGAGCACACAGGGTGTGGCGGTGCCCCGTCCCCATTTCTGCAGGGAACAGGGGTCCCCCACCCAGACAGGCAGGCGGGGGAGGTCCCCCGGGAGATGGCGGCCCGGGCTGCGCTGGCCCTGCTGGACGCCGGCCCCCGCCCAGGTCTCTGGCCATCCTCTTCCGCTCTCTCTTGCAGGTGTGCACTTCGCAGGGTTCCTGACCGTGCACCGGAACAGCCACCCCGACTCTGGCTGGGCTGGACTCTGCAAACCTGCTTCCGCAATGGGTGGGTTGTGAGCGCTGGTAAGACCTGCTAGCCAACATTCGGCTGCTCTGCTGTCCCGTGTCTGGCCTGTCCGGCCCATTCCTGTTCTTTTCTCCCCTGTGCTCCCCACTGTGCTGCCACCACCCCCCCGCCCCGGCCGTCCCTCTCCCGACCTTGCCGCTGCTCAGGTAACGAGGAGCTGTGGGCCCAGCCAGCCTTGGAGATGCCGAAAAGACGGGACGTCCTTGCAATAGTCCTCATCGTGCTGCCCTGGACACTGCTGGTCACCGTGTGGCACCAGAGCACCATCGCGCCTCTGCTCACGGCACACAAGGGTGAGCCCCCGGCCCGGCCCGGGCCAAGTGTCAGTGACGAGCGAGATGGATAGGGCTGACAGAGTTATTTTCACCCACCAGGCAGCTGGGCGGAGGCCGAAGGATGAGCCGGGCCAATGACCTGGCCCAGCCAGGAGGCTTGGCCCCTCTGGGAGTCTGATGAACACTCCCCGCCCTCCCCTGCTGCGCACACACAGAGACCCGTGTGCAGAACTCTGCGTCCAGTTCCAGGGCATGCAGAGGCTGGGAGCGCTCCCAGCAGTGGGAAGGGATGGGTGAAAAGCACCCCTGGCCTGCGTTGTGTTTTAAAATCTCTCAAGGAGAGGACATGAGGTGCCCCTTTTCCTGGTTAGGGAGCCCGGACCTAGTCCAACCTAGTGAAAACGGGCCTCGCCGGAGGAAACGGCCCGCGAAGCCCTTGACAGAGAATGGGGCCGAGTCCCAGCTTCCCCGCCCACAGGCTGCCTTTCCCTCCGACCCCGGGATCCCTGTGGCCCAGGACCTTCCACTTGCCCACACTTGATCTGCTCCCTCAGGCCTAATTCTTCAGTCACGCTCCTCTCCCCGCTGCACTCCGCGCGCCCGCAGACCCGGCGCCCAGGGCAGCAATTCTGCCCCGGAAGGGGCACAGGGTGGCACCGGGAGCACGACACACATGAAGGCGCCCAGGCCCACCTGGGCGAGGGAGGCGACCAGGGCCCAGGGAAGGGCCTGGGAACTCACACGTGGCCGTAACCCCAAGTGACCAGGATGCAGGCAGTGGCCGAGTCACGGTCTGAGGGTGGGCTGCCCCACGTGGCCACACGCCTGGCCCTGCTCGGCCCCGGCGGTTCCCGCAGCTTCCGTGAGGGAAGGCCACGCTGAACATCACTAACTTCCGCTGCCAATGCTGGGTCCCTGGAGCTGTCCCCCTGACAGTCGCCCTCCCCTCCCAACGCCATATCTGGTGCCTGTCACTTCAGAACTGTTGCTCTTCTACAACTACGTCACCCCAGAGGGGTCAAAACTACCACTTGTAGAAGGACATGGCATCACGTGGCTTCCATTCTTGGCAGAGCTCTAGGGCCAGGGATGTGAGGCTGTTCGGCAAAGCGCCGCTCTTGCTGCCCGCGGACGAGGAACCGGCGCGCTGTCTCCCAAAAGCGCGCCAGGAGGGACCAAAGCAAAGCTGCAGTGAAGTAAAAGTTAGGGATCCGGGGGGGTCCTTTAGGACCCAAAGGTCGCAGAAGCCAAGAGGCCAGCGGGAGGGGCCACGTTGGGGCTGTGGCCGCGTCTGATGCACAGAGGGCTTCCCCAGGGTACAGGTCCCCGATTGGGAGCACTTGTGCGGCAGAAGGTTGCAGAGAGTGGCTCTGAATCTCCCTCCCAAGTCTCAGCTCCCAAAACTTGACTGATAGCAGGATAGATAAGTCCCTCGACAGCGTGGTCAGAACCCCACTCATTCATCCCTCTTTCCTTAAACTTGTTCTCTTTTCACAGTTTAACCCAAAACTCCTCCAAAATGTAGCCTCTGACCGACTGCCCCCCTGCTAGTCTCCCACCCTGCCCCACACACCTGGCATCGCAGCCACAGCCGCAGAGCGGGCTTCGGGCTCCTGCTGTGCACCTTGTTCCTCCTCCTGCCTGTGCGCACTCCCTGAGAGCCACACACAGGTCTTCCTCTGGGTTCATCTGAGGTCATCTCCTCCCAGGGCCCAGGGTCAGACCTCACACACACGCCCCCACACACCCCATGTGCTGCTGACGCCAGTGAGAAGGAGGGGAAGCCACAGAATGGCCTCCCTGGGGCCGCCCATCAGCCCTTTCATGTGATTGCTCATTGCGTCCTTTCCACACTTGCATGAAGCCATGAGGAAGTGGGGCCGGCTCCTGTCCTCTTTCCCCACATCAGGGAAGGACCGGAACTGCCTCGCGGTGTCCTGAAACCTTCCCTCGTGTGGAACCCTTCATCCAGGCTATAGCTCAGCGAAGGAGGTGCTGTGGGTTGCCCAAACGGAGAAACCAGAAGCGAAGTGGCAGAGAACTGGGCAGCGTCTGCGCCCAGGCACGAGAGTCCTTAGGTCTGTCCCCGACCATCGTCACCTCCTGCCGAGATAGTACAAGAGCGGTGAGGGCCGCACAGCTGTTCAAACGGGAAGACGTAATGTGGGGAGAAGGGGCTGTTAAGAACAGGACCGCCAATGGCTGCGATTTCTCCTCCTGAGGGACTACCAGCGTCACCAAAGGGGAAATGGCCAGCATGGGAGGAGAGCGCGGTCAGTGCAGTGGGGAGCCGTCGTGCCTGGGAGTTTCTGCCAGAGGCCAGGCTTCTGCCCGTTCTTACACAATGCCCTGCAAAGACGGAGGTGAACATCGGCTGGATGCGGGGACAGCTGGTGCCCGCAGGACAGTCAGCCTCCCGTCAGTCAATGAGTGTTTCCAGGACGTGAAGGTTAGGAGGCCGACGGCCGACCAGCAGAAGCACGAGAGCAGGGCGCCGCCCATCCTTCGTGTGTGCGCCAAACTGTGGAAACATCGGAAATCGGGAAGGGCACGTTCAGAATTCAAAACTGTCTTGAAAACTTTGGGCAAAACCCTGGAAAACAATGTAGTAGTTAAGTATTAAATTTTGATGAAGGTGCAAAGGACAGATTGCATACGTCCAGGAGGGAAGAGGCCCTACTTGAGGAGGGGGTTTGTGAGAAATCAGGGAGAGGAACCTCACACTCAGCGTCCACAGTGCGCGTGCACCACGAAAGCACTCGCCCTGCTCTTGGGCACTGGGGTGTGTACCCCACAAGGTGGCAGTGCCATCAGCACTGGCCAGGTGAGGGGGCCACGAGGGGGGTGAGGTTCAGAGACTTCGTCATATAAAACGCAACACACTTAGACACGGAAGGTGAAACCTTGGAATCTGCCCGGCCGCAGGCAGCCAGGGGGCTGTGAGACGGCGGCGGCGCAGAGGTCGCCTCTGCTCCCTGGGGAGTCAGAACTAGGGAAATGCCCGAGAATTTCAGGACGCTGCCACTCCCGTCAGCTCCGATGGGCCCCGCGCAGGGATCTGACAGCCTACCTGAGGGGAGCGGAGGGCAGGTTTGGGGGGCAGGGTGGGCGGCTTCCTGCCCAGCACCTGCGGCAGGGCCAGCTCGCGTCCCCACATCGCCCTTCTCCCAACCCCGCAGATGAAGGTGGTGACCCCAGGCGCGCCGCCCCGCCGGGCGCGGACCCCAGGGAGTACTGCATGTCCGACCGGGACATCGTGGAGGTGGTGCGCACCGAGTACGTGTACACGCGGCCCCCGCCCTGGTCCGACACGCTGCCCACCATCCACGTGGTGACGCCCACCTACAGCCGCCCGGTGCAGAAGGCGGAGCTGACGCGCCTGGCCAACACGCTGCTGCACGTGCCCAACCTGCACTGGCTGGTGGTGGAGGACGCGCCCCGCCGCACGCCGCTGACGGCGCGCCTGCTGCGCGACACCGGCCTCAACTACACGCACCTGCACGTGGAGACGCCCCGCAACTACAAGCTGCGCGGCGACGCCCGCGACCCACGCATCCCGCGCGGCACCATGCAGCGCAACCTGGCGCTGCGCTGGCTGCGTGAGACCTTCCCGCGCAACTCCAGCCAGCCCGGCGTGGTGTACTTCGCGGACGACGACAACACCTACAGTTTGGAGCTCTTTGAGGAGGTGTGGACCAGGCAGAAGGCGGGGAAGAGGTGCGAGGAGCGGGGCCTCTGGTGTGGGAGGTGAAGACGCTCCTGCCGAGGCCGGGCCTGCTGTGAAGGGGCCCTTTGGGTAGGGTAGGGACCGTGGGAGCCGAGCAGGAGGGCGCCAGGCTGCAGGGAGCCCAGACTGCAGGGAGCCAGCCGGAGCAGGGGTGGGGGTGGGGGGGTGGGGGTTGGAGGCCGGCCGAGGGCTTCAGCAGCCCCTGCGACGAAGGGAACCGAACCGGGCCAGGGCAGGAGGCCGTGCTGGAGCGGCCAGACCGCCGCGGCACTACCGCGGAGTAGAGGTGCTGTCTGAATAAGCTGTGGACCAGTTTCAGGGTCCTTTGGCTTGGTGGTCCTGGTCTTTGGGAGAGCAGAGAGGGAAGGGTCAAGTCCCAAATTAGGAAGACACAGGTGTTGCAGCAAGGAAGACGGGGCGGCAGCGGGGCGCGTGGAGAGGAGGGAAGACCAGCCGGCTTGAGAGGTCCCTCCGCAGGGGCATGTCGGGAGACAGGCCTGGCCTGAATCCCCAACGTGGCCTCGTACGGCCATGAGCCTGCCGCTATTGACATGGCCTCCCATGGGATGGGGCATCACTCCCCATCAGCAATCCCAGGTGTCCTGACTCTGGGTCCCCCTTGTAGATGCGCAGCACCAGGAGGGTGTCCGTGTGGCCTGTCGCCTTCGTCGGCGGCCTTCGGTACGAGGCCCCACGGGTCAACGGGGCAGGGAAGGTGGTCGGCTGGAAGACAGTGTTTGACCCCCACCGACCGTTTGCAATAGACATGGCTGGATTTGCGGTCAACCTGCGGCTCATTCTACAGCGAAGCCAGGCCTACTTCAAGCTGCGTGGTGTGAAAGGAGGCTACCAGGAGAGCAGCCTCCTCCGAGAACTGGTCACCCTCAACGACCTGGAGCCCAAGGCCGCCAACTGCACCAAGGTAAGGCCCTCAGTGGAATGGACAGCTGCAGCACAGTCGTTGCTGAGCCCGCCCAAACCTTCCCAGCAGGTCAGGGAGCAGGACATGAGGGCCTCAGCACAGCCCTGCAGAGAAGAATGGGCCTCGAGCCACGCCTTCCTACAACGCCCGCCAGGAAGGGGGCTCGCCACCTGCCCGCCAGCCACACTGGAGTCCGGCAGGGAAGTGAGGAGGGTGGCGATGAGTGAGGCAGAGCCGAGGACGGTGTGCCCTCCCTCGAAGGAGCTGGGCTCCGTGACCTCCCGCCAAATACATGAGCATGTATGCGCGCACATGGACACATACCTGCGCACAGTGTAACTAGTTTGACCCTCCCCAGCTAGGGCCCGGGCCCTCATTCGGCTGAGCAGAAGGCTCCTGAACAACTTTCTCCTGCTCTAGAGAGACCCATTAAGAAAGGCAGAGGAGGATGAGAAGCAAGAAAACATCCTCAGATTCATTTGTCTATTTTTCTGTAGTTTTAGTCTTTCTGTTTCCAGCAGCTATTTTGAATGCATGCATGTGCGAACGGTAAGGGTGAGGGGGTAGGTAAAAATTAAAAACAATGGAGAAAATCCAGATGGACCAAGGACAGAATGGAGGGGCAGGAGACACACGTGCAGCGTGTGAGTGGGAGCAGGAGGTGGCGTGGTGAGTTCAGGGGCCCGCCCCACGTTGTTTCATGTCTGGGCACACAGATCCTGGTCTGGCACACGCGGACAGAGAAGCCGGTGCTGGTGAACGAGGGGAAAAAGGGCTTCACTGACCCCACTGTGGAGATCTGAGCCCAGGATACAGGTACGGCCGGGCCGGGGGCAGAGATGCACAGGGCAATGGAAGCCAAGTTCGGACACAGAATAAAGCTGCCAAGACTTTTCCTCTTGGTCGTTAATTGTAGAAGGACAGACAGGGAAATACTAGTAAGAGTGGAAGAGGCATAGCTGAAGTCCCCTTCCCACTGTGCTGTCGGGAAATTAACAGCGGCCACAACATCCCCCACCACTGGGTCCTTCTGCCACCAGTCCTGGAAGGCCCCTCCTTCCGGACTCGCCTGACAACCACCGTGATTCTGGCCACGGCACTTGTCCCATTGCAAGGCACTGCTGTGTGCTTTCCTAGGCTGTCTTGCCCTGTGGATTCCTCTTCGGTCATGGTGCTGTGACAAGGACCCTCACTCACTGCCCCCACCTCATTTGGCATGTCCGCGTGTCTCTCAATAGTAACAATGTAGTGCAGTGGTCAAAGCTGGACCCCAGAGCCTGGTTCAGGTCCTGGCCTACCACTTTCCCCCACTTTTCCCCCTTTCTTTTCCTGGGCTTCAGTTTCTTCATCTGTAAAATGGGTTGTTGGGGGTGCCAAGAACAGTCTCTGGCACATAAGTCCTAGGTAAGTATTGCTGTTGTTTCATTTTTTAAAACCCTCTATGCAAGTGGGCCACGGGAACTGCCTACATTTTAGAGGTGAAGAAATGATGTTCAGAAAAGCTAGCGAATGAAACGAACTGTGCCAGGAAATTGGCAGAGCAGGAGTTTCCTCTGGGCATGTCTGTGTCGTCACCGCAGAGGTGGGAGCTAAGACAGTGGGACACACCTGGACTCTAGCCTTGGAGTTTGGTGGCAGCTTCTGGGTCATATTTGCAAGTGCCCTGCCCACCAGGGACCCCCGCGGTGTCCGTCTGCCTGTGTCGTCCCCTGAACTTAACGCATTGGCTGGGCCGGTGCTGCGGAGACCCTCAGCGCCCGAGCCCAGCCCCGCCTCCCGCTCCAGGTGCTGCAGGAGCCCGCCCCGCCTCAGGCTGGGCTCTGTGCAGCCCTGTCGGGGGCTAAGGGTGGAGTAGTTTGGCCAGACTGGCCCCTCGGACACCCGCCTCACCCACTGCTCCTCTCCCCTTCACAGGAGCCTCTTCTCAGACCCTGCTCCTGGCCTTCCATCCTCTCCCCGTGGCTGATGGCCCCTCCGAGGCAAACTCCAAAGGAATGGCCAGCACCCTCTTTTCTATGCCGGGGCTTCAGAGAGAGCCCAGCCTAATGCCAGGACAAAGGACGGGGAACCTAAAGCACAGAAATCCCAGACATGTTGTTCTCTTCCATCCAGCGTGCCCAGGCCCAGCTGCGAGCCCCGCCCCCGAGCCAGCTCGCCGGTGCCCCGCACACCTCCCCAGAGCTTCCTGCATCGACAGGCCCGCAGGAGCAGACGCGCGGGGCTCACCCCAGCCCCAGAGGGGTGCTGGCCTGGGAGGGAGGTTAAAAGACTCGGTAGACAGGTGGAGGGTGACCCCCGCCCGGCTCCCGGCTTCCGGGGTCCAGCCCAGCCTCATAGGCTGGCCGGCCAGAGAATCCTGATGACCAGAGGCAGGCCCTGCCCGGGTGTCAGGACCCTGTCCCCTCCTCGGAGAGTTGCTCCCAGGTACACGTGCCTCTGTGGCTTTCCTCTCATTCCTGTTCTGTCTTTGATCCCAAGGGGCGCCCAGCCCTGCATGAGGGGAGCCTGGGCCCTGCCAGCAGGCTCCCCCTGTACCTCAGGCTGTGGTGGGAGAAGAGCCCTTTCCTCTGGCCCCGCCCCTCAGGCCTGCTCCTGGCAGCACAGAGAAGCAGGTGGGCCCTCCAGCCAGCACAGGAGACGGACTGACCTGGACTAAGACCACGTGGGCCCCTATGCCCACACTGCCACCCCCACTGCCCACTGGGCCGCAGGGCCTTCGCCTGGGCCAGGACGGGGAGGGCAGGAGCCCTCTTCCTGAAGCCCTTGAGAGCCACAGGCCTCAGGGGCTCCCTGAGCAGGGGCAGGAGAGGGGGAAAGAGGCGGGAGGCGGGGCAGGCCCAAGGCTCTGTCCCGCCCCTGGTGTGGGGACCGAGATTTTGCATTAGCCAAGGGATTGATGGAAAAAAGGCAGAGATCATTTGGACACTGAGCGGAAAGGAGACCTGAGCACATTTTACTTTGGAGATCACTGTATTCTAAACACAAAAGGGAAAAGAAAATCTCCCTTCCTCCTAAGTGAGGAGCCTGCAGAGCAAGCCGCCTCAGGTCCAGCTGCGCCCCTTCCTCCCCAAAGAACAGTGCTTGCGCCCGGCAGCCCCGCCCACCGGGAGGAAAGGGGGTCAGCCTCCCCAGCTGCAGGAGGGGTCCCTGGCTTTCGGACTGGGGACAGGGCCCCCTGGTGGCTGTCACACTCACGCTCCTGAAAGTTGGAAGCACAATTTTCCTCCCACGTGGAGGAAAAGGGAAGGCTTGAGCCTACTGAAGGTGTTTATTTTTAACTGCTAACAGCACCCACTTCATTTAAACTCACAGGACCAGTCTGAGGACCACTGAGAACCCACTCCTGGGTGGGTGGGGGATAGGACATAGTCCGGCAACTTGAACATTCAAAAAATAGCATTGGCTGCCTGTTTTGAAATGGACTGAACTGACCACAGCAGTCATGAGCCCTGCTGCTGGGATCACACCCCCGGCAGCCCTGAGCCGCCTCGCAGGACGTTCCCCAGCCTCTTCCATTTGCTGTGTTGCTTTGGAAATCCAGCCCTCAGAACCAAGCCGCGTGGCCTGGGGGAGAAGGGAGGAGGCAGGCCCAGGGCACCCATGCAGTGAGTGAAGGAGGTCAGGCCCAGGCTCCGCTGCATCCTCACTGAACCCGGCCCCGAAGGCCCAGGTGAGCTTGGCTGCTCTTAGGCAAACTTCTCAGCTGGGGAGGGGCAGGGGTGGGGGCGGGGGACCCAGGGCTCATTTTCAGGAAATTGATAATGAACAACAAAATGAGATATTTTCTCTCTTTTATTATTTTTTGGGGGGCAGATGCTAGTTGTTTTCACCCAATATCCTCTTCTAGCTGCATGTGTATTTATTTATAATCATAACCTGGTAGACAGCAGTCCTCACCTTTGCTGGGAATGAGTTCGTTAGAAATGAGAATTGGGTCCGTGACGACGACTTGTTTTCCAAACTCAGCCTGCTCCCTGCTCGCCACATGGAGGAGTGAAGCTGGGGGCTGGGCGTCTCAGCTAGAGACGGGGGTGGGTGGAGCCTCGCAGCTGCACCATCTGGTCTGTTTTAATTTAACTGTATTTAATTTGTTTTCACAATTAAAAGTCAAATATGGTTTTTAACAGTCCTAACGCTCCTCCTCCCTGCTTTATTTTATTTCCCTTTATTGCTTTAACCCTGCACCAAACGTCTCTCTGTGAGAGGGCTCCTGGGAACGGCATCACTCCGGCAGCCCACACAGAGAAGAGCCAAAGCACTGGTCTTCGCGGAGCTCGCCTTCTCTGCAGAGGATGTGGATGGATGACAAATCTGTAGCATTTTAGCTGTGATCTGGCCTGGGGACAAGGATGAGGCGGGGGGGCGGGGGGGCGCAGAGTGAAGCTGTGGAGAGGACCTGTCCACTGCACAGGGTGCTCAGGAAGGCCTCCCCGATCAGGTGCCATCTGAGCAGAGCAGCAGCATGCAGACATGCCATCATCCAGGTCGGAGCATTCTAGAATGCAGGGTTCTCTGCCCGGTGGGAGGGTGCTTAGTATGTTTAAAAAGGAGCAAAAATGGCAGTGTGACTGCAGTTGACCGGGAGAGGCGGGAGGGGTCAGGGAGATGGGGGAGACGTGGAAGGAAGGGGAGGCAGCGGATGTGTTGGTTGGTCCTGGGAACCTGGGTTAAATGTTGGCTTCTGCGAGTGAAAAGGGAAGCCGCTGGAGCGTTTGGAGCAGAGGACGGACACGATCTAACTGGCCTTGTAGAAGACTCCCTCCACTTTCGGCACCGACAGTAAACCGAGAGGGTGAGGGCAGGCTGGGGGGTGTCTCTACAGCAAGCCAGGCACGAGATGGCGGCAAGCTGGGCGAAAGCACCAGATCTGGGGCAGAGAGAGTGCTGGGCTCCAGGCATGTTTAAGAGGGATGGCCAATCCAGCCAGAGGCTGGAGGGACAGCTGCCAAGGTCTCTGTGCTGCGTCCCTCTCCCCCGCCGCCTACAGATGCCACCTTTCCTGAGTCAAGTCCCCCTCTCCGAACAGCATCAGCACAGGACAATGCACTGGCCCCACCCCCTCGACCCCGTGGGACCCCACCCTGTCGAACTCCTGCCCTGTGGAAGAGTCTGTTGGCTGTGGCCAGCCCGGGCTCCTGGGGCACCCTTTCTCAGAAGGCTCTCAGGGAGACCCAGACAGGCTCAGGGCGACAGAGATGAGAGGGAAAGACTTGTGTGGCTCAGGACAGCGGCCTTTTTCCCCTTGCTCACCCAACAGGTGCAGAGCCCTCCCTTTATACGGCCCAGTCTTCATCCGTGTTAGCCTGATGAACTCTGCTGGCATCACCCTGGCATTCCCCTGAGGCCCCATCCCGCCACACAGGCCCCAGGTCCCAGGCAGGCGGCAGGCGGCTTTGGTGAACCCCGAGATATTGCTGAGTGGCCTCAGGCCCAGCACTGGCACTGAGGCTGAATCTGTATCAGTCTGGTGAACACCTCTCACCCCTATGTGGTGATTCAGTGAGAATCTGCCTCACACAACTCACTGCCAAAGGCTCTTCTAGTGACTGAGCCTAACAGGCAGCTGGCAGGTGACCTGTCCCAGGCTCCGTGCTGGTGGAAACTGGACTTGGTGTACAGCATGGCTCCTCCCATGCACACCCAGGCCCAGTAGAGGAGGCCACAAAATGTGGATTGCTTTGTAGCTATAAGGTTGGCCAGGGCTGGTCAAAGGCAGCACCTGACATAGCCCTGCACTGGAGTTCCTCCCAAGAGGCCCCAGAACCAACACACCTGGTGACAGGCTTAGGACCACATCAGAGCATGACCCAGTTAGCTCTACAAGCAGAACACCCAAGGGAGATCCCAGCAAGTACCAGACCCAGCACAGCAGCTCATATGCTGTGGTCAAGGTCAGTCCTCACAGTCAGTCCCACCCACAGATGCACCAGCAGAAATCAAAACAAAATGACAACAGGAGGGCTCACATAACCCACAGAAGGGACATTTCTGGAGCACCTAGCTTAGGTGACTGGAGAGACTGTGCCACTGAGCCCCAAAAGACACCCACTACATAAGGCCACCATACCAAGACTGGGAGACACAACAGATCTCCCGAATACACAGAAACAGATACAGGGAGGCAACCAAAACTGGGAAACAAACAAAAAAAAAACCCTCAAAAAACAGGTGAAATCTCCAGAAAAAGAACTAAATGGAATGGAGGCAATTTACCAAATACAGAGTTAAAAACATGGTTATAAGGATGTTCAAGGAAGTGAGGGGGGGAAAGGGATGAATTCAGTGAGAATTTAAAGAAAGTGATAGTAAATATAAAAGAGGACATAGAAACCATAAAAAAACCACCAGTCAGAAATGAAGAATAGAATGCCTGAAGTGAATACACTAGGAGGAATCAAGTTAGATGACGCAGAGGATCAAATCAGTAATTTGGAAAACAAAGTAGTGGAAAACATGCAACCAGAGAAGTGAAAAGAAAAAAAGAATGTTTTAAAATGAGAGTAATTTAAGGGACCTGTGGGACAACATCAAACATCACAGCCTCTACATCATAGGGTTACCAGGAAGGAAAAAGAGAAAGCAAGGGATTGAGATCCTATTTGAAGAAATAATAACTGAAAATTTCCCTAGCCTGGTGAAAGAAAAGGACACACAAGTTCAGAAAACACAGAGAGTCCCCAAAGAGATGAACCCAAGGAGGCCCACTTCAGGATACATAATATTGAAAATGCCAAAGGATAAAGACAAACAGAGAGGCTTAAAAGCAGCAAGAGGAAGCAGTTATTTACCAACAAGGGAGCTCCCATAAGACTGTCAATTGACTTCTGAACAGAAACAGTTCGGGCCAGAAGGAACTGGCATGGGTTATTCACAGTAATGCAAAGCAAGGGCCTGCAGCTATGACCACTCTACCCAGCAAAGCAATCATTGAAAACGGAAGGAAAAATAAAGACCTTCTCAAACAAGGAAAGCTAAAGGAGCTCACTACCCCCAAACCAGTATTACGAGAAATGTTAAAGGGTCTTATATGAGAAGAAGAAAAAAAGGAATATAATTCTATATGAATATAATGGCAATAAGTGCATGCCTATCAATAATCACTTTAAATACAAATGTCATAAATACTCCAAAGAAAATACTTAGGTTAGCTGAAAGAATAAGAAAGCAAGACCCATAGATATGGGCTGTCTACAAGAGACCCATCTCAGAATAAAAGACACATATTGAAAGAGATGGAAAAATATATGTCATGCAAATGGAAATTTTAAAAAAGCTGGAGTAGCAATACTAATATCAGACAAAATAGACTTTAAAGCAAATGCCATAATAAGGACAAAGAAGGGCACTGCATAATGATAAAATGGTCAATCCAACAAGATATAACCCTTGTGACATAGGAGTACCCAACATAGAAGCACCTAAATATTTCAAGCAAATATTCCTGACATAAAGGGAGAGACTGACAGTAACAACAGTCACAGTGGGGGATGTTAACAAACACCCCATTGACATCCATGGGTAGATCTGCCAGACAGGAAATCGACCAGGAAACAGCAGCCTCACATGACACACTAGACCAGAGAGATTCCATTGATGTTTTCGGAGCACCTCACTCCAGCAGCAGGATACATTTTCTGCAAGTGCACGGAAGAGCATTTTCCCAGAGAGGCTGCTGCATGCCATGCCGCTCAACAGGTCTCAGTGAACTGAAGAGCACTGAAGTCATAGCAAGCACCTTCTCTGACAACCTTGGTGTGAAACTGGAAATCAGTTACAAGAAAAAAACTGAAAAACACGCATGCAAACACATGAAAGCTAAATAGCATGTTGCTAAACAACAAGATCAAGGGAAAAATAAAAAGATACCTTGAGGCTAATAAAAATGGAAACACACCACCACAAAATCTACGGGACACAGTGAAAGCAGTCTCAAGAGGGAAATTCATAGCATTATAGGTCTATCTGAAGAAACAAGAAAATCTCAAATAAGCAATCTAACCTCACACCTAAACAAACTAGAAAAAGAACAACAAACAGAGACCACAGTGAATAGAAGAAAGTAATAAAGATGAAAGTGGAAATAAACAAATAGAATCTAAGAAAGACAATACAAAAGATCAATGAAACCATGACTCGTTCTTTGAAAAGATAAACAAGATTGACAAACCTTTAACTGAACTCATCAAGAAAAAAAGCAAGAGGACCCAAATAAATAAAAGTAGAAATGAAAGAGGATATCAGGGGAAATACTCTGTAAAGTATATGATTGTCTAATCACTATGCTGTACACCTGAAACCAGTACAAAATAATATTAAATGTAAACTGTAATTAAAGAATAAAAAATGAAAGAGAATAACTGACACCACAGAAATACAAAGGATTATTAGAAAATATAATGAACTATATGCCAACAAATTGGACAATTTGGAAGAAATGGATAAATTCCTAGAAACATACAGTATTCCACAACTGAATCAAGAAGACACAGATCTGAACAGACCAATTACAACTAATAAAATTGAAGCAGGAATCAACAAACCTCCCAACAAGCAAAAGTCTTGAACCAGATGGCTTCACAGGTGAATTTCATCAAACATTCAAAGAAGTAACACCTCTTCTTCTCAAACTATTCCAAAAAATTCAAGAGGAAGACTCCCAACCTCATTTTATGAGACCAGCATTATGCTAATTCCAAAACCAGATAAAGACACTACCAAGAAAGAAAATGATAGACCAACATCCCTGATGAACACAGATGTTAAAATCCTCAACATAGTATTAGCAAACTGAATTCAGGAATACCTTAAAATGATCATATACCATGATCAAGTGGGACTTATACCTGGGATGCAAGGATGGTACAGTATCCACAAATCAATGAACATGATACAGCACATAAACACAACGGGGGGTGAGAGGGACAGCTGAGAGAAGCTGCTGCTGAATGGATGTGGGATGTGTAAGAGAGGAGTTAGAAATTATCTGACACAGAATAGAATGGCCATTTCCCGAGGGAGGGCACAGTGAGGGAGGGACGACGTGGAAGTAACGAGAGTTCAGGGTCCTGTGGCCATTAGACACGTGCAGGAGAGGCGAGTGGATGGTGGCCAGTGCACCTGGACCCCAGGTGGAGATGAACACTGGCGTGTATGAGTGTCAGGCTGCCTGCAAGCCCCAGGTGGATGAAGCCACCACAGCGATTCTGGGCAGAGGGCAGCGGCCAGAGAGTGGGCCTGGAGCCCGCCGGCATTTAAAGGCTGCGGTCATGGGAGGGGGCGGCCTCAGGAGCCTGAGCTCCGGGACATGGTCTGGAGGGCGCGTCTGGGAACCGAGTGCCCGCAGGGTTAGACGCGAGCCTGGCTGCTCGCGGCCTTGCCTCTGGCTAACAGCCGCAGGGACAGGGTCCGAGCAGTTGGAAGAGCAGTTGGAAGAGCCAGACCAACCATGAGAAAGCTCTGAAGGACAATCTCAGACAAGGGGCTTTGACAGAGATGCTGCAGGGGCTGTCTGGCAGGCAGCAGACAAGAGCAGCAAGTTGCTGCAGGAAGCCTCACCCTAAGGGCCAGTGCGTCCCTGCCCAGATTCACCTGAGGGAGTAACTCAAGGGGATTCTTCACTTTACAAAAGGATTCGCCCGTTTCCTGTTACATCTTCCAACAGAGGCCAGATTACATAGAGCTTTGCGGAGGCACAGTCTGGTGCAAAGTGACGGCAGGCTACCCTGCTCCCAGCGCGTCGGCCACGCCCACGCAGTCCTGGTCTTCTCCCCGCAGCGGACCGCGCTTCCCCTTCCACAGCAGCCCCCTCCTAGCTGGGGAATTTGGCCAAGCCTGGGACTTTGACCCCCTTCCTGCTCAGCCGTGGTGCATGCTTTTCACTTCAATAAGCCCCATCTCTGCTCCCAGTGAGACCCTTGAGCTGACCCTGGGACTGCGTGTCCTCCGCCCGGCTCTGCTCTTGGGCCCAGCAGCCCCCAGTGCGGACGCTTTCCTTAACCACGCACAGGATGCGAGCCTCTGAGGCCGCTGGGACCCATGGCAGCCTATGACAGGCAGGCTATTCTCCGCCTGTCTTCACGGCCTCTGCTGTATGTAGGCCCTGTCCTGGGGCGAGGGGGGGCGGGGAGGTGTCTCTATCTGATGTGACTATTATTGAAGGTTATTAGTTTGTGGCAGTCAAGTCCAGATGTCGTTTGTGAAGAAAACTCACCCACTGTAGCTGACTCCCAGGTAGGGCCTTCGGCCGTCCGGGCCTCGCCCCTCTGCCCACCCACACCAGAATGGGTTCATAGTGCCTTGTCTCCAAGGGCACTTCCAATCCACAGGGACATTTCAGAGGGGATAGCGGTCCGGAGGGACATGGTCCGGAGGGCGCATCTGGGAACCGAGTGCCCGCAGGGTTAGACGCGAGCCTGGCTGCTCGCGGCCTTGCCTCTGGCTAACAGCCGCAGGGACGGGGTCCGAGAAATCCCAGCAAAGGGTCCGATTCGGCAAAGCTGCTTCACTGCGAGTCAGGACAGCCAGCCCCCGGACCCGAGCCCCACAACAGCGCCTCAATTTCGGACAGACAACTGCGAAGGCAGGCTGCCCCTCCGCCCTGCTGCTCGGCCCCGGGGGCTGGGGGCGGGGCCCAGCCGGAGGCGAGGGCGATGCCCGGCCTACAGGCCCGCTGGCGGCCCAGCGTCCAGAGGCGGCCCAGAGGCGGCCCGTGCAGGCCACTGGAGTGGTGGCCCTTCGCCTCCGAGGCCCGTGGACAGGGGTGTGGCTACTGCTGGCATCTGCGTTTCCTCCTCTTCTCACGAGTAAAACTGGAAACATTCTCTCATTTGGAAAATGAGGGGCTGAGTGCGTCTGCTTCTCTGAGCTCGGCTTGTCATCGTGTCAGAAGCAATTAGGGTGGGAAGGAAAAGAAAACACGTATCTCTCAAATGGCGTTTCTTCCAGAATCCCAGAGAAGTTGCGGGGGGCGGGGCGGTTATGAAGAAACAAGGACTCGGGGGAACACCCCCTTCACTATCCTCTACAAACGGTGACAAAGCCACTACTGTGGAAACATAAAGAGGCCCGAAGGGCCAAGGCCGGGCCCGGTGAGACTCTTCACAGGAGCCCACCTGTGTGCAGCGCCACGTGGCCCAGGCGAAGGTGCATGAGGGTCTGACAGGACAGTCTCTGTCTAACCACAGACAGACATCCCTCTGTCATCTCCCGGAAGAGCCGGGAGTAGGGAAGGTGCCATCCACGGGGACCCCTCGCAGGTAAGAAGGGGCCCCTCCCCCGCCCCCCTTCCGTCCGGTCGGGTTTAGGGCCCTGCACTGGAGCAGCGGGCAGCAACGGAGCCTGGGGCGGCCGGAGGAGGAAGCTCTGCCGGGGGAGCGTGAGGGACAGCGCCCCAGGCCTCCGGGCCGCAGTGAGGAAGGGCCGCTCTGCCCGCTCCACTGCGAGGCCCTGGGCACATCGCTCAGTTAAGGTACTGATTCCTGCCCAGGTGGGGCGTGTCAGTGAACTGGATCACAGGGCCTGCCATCTTCTCCTCGAATACAATGACCTGGAGAGAGAAGGGCTGGGGTCACGCGGCGTTGAGGTTCGTCGGGAGCCGTGAGGGAAGGGGCTGGGAACCAGGCTGGAGGGAACGGGGACCCACAGCTCATCAGCACCAAGGAGGAGCACAGGAGGGACTGGTCAAAACCTCTGCCCCTCGTCACACCCCTGGAGTGCCGCGATGCCACCAACCGCTGCCACAGCACCTGCCCTCGGGGAGAACAGGGACACTGGGTGCTCTGGGTTTAATGCCCCCCTCAGGCCATAACCACGGAGTGATGCGCCACGCGCCAGAGCCGGGCTGAGCAGCTCTCTCAGCACTGCTCACTTACAGCATTTACAGGGTGAGCAAGAGGCAGAGAAGGCAAACGTAAAGGATGGAGAGATGGGAAAGGGGAGGGGAGTGGTGGAATGAGGAAGGAAGAGCAGGAGAGAAAGGGAGGGAGACTCGATGAGGTGGGGAAAAGAAACAAAAACACCTGCCCCTGTGCTGCCCAAACCAGGCTTCACAGACGGTGACCAGGGCCCCCTCCCTCCCCCACCAGGGAGGGAGGGAATGAGAAGGGGGTCCTGGGAAAGAGGGTCGGGCTACCTGTGCCTCACCTGGTTGATGCCTTGGTCCAACCAGGCACCTGGGAGGTAGAGCGTCTCCTGGGGTCCGATGTTCCAGTAGCGTCCGAGGTTTTGGCCATTGATGAATGCGACCCCCTTCTCCCAGCCCTGCTGGCAGAGCGGGGAGTGCCAGTGAGCCACAGCGGCAGCCAATGTGAAGTCCCACGGGCGGCAGCGACAGTCACACACACGCTGTGCATTCTCCGCGCTTCCAACAGAGCGGCGGAGCGGGCAGGTCGACAGCCCAGAGCTGGCCAGGTCGGGAGCCCCGTCCCCTTTCCCCGCAGCTCTGACTTCCCAGCCGGGCACCGAGCTCAGACTGGACGCCGGAGCCTGGACCCTCAGCAGCATCCCCAGTGACGCTCCTGCTTTGAGCCCACTCGCTTGGCTCCGGGGGGCCCCCGGGGCCCTTTGAGGGAGGGCACCACACAGACAGGGGCCCTCCAGGCCCTTGTGATAGAGAGGGCTCCAGCAAGGCTTTGGAGAGCCTTGTGGGGAGCAAGCCCCTCCTCAGGGCCCGGGCAGGGCGCTCTGAGGACTGACGGGAGCCTGGGCAGGGAGGGCCTACACACCTCCAGCTTCATAAAGGTGTCCAAAGGGGGAAGGTCGACAGGCAAGGCACCCAAGAAGAAAGCAGGGAACACAGGTGCGTCGGGGAGAGGGCTCCACGCATTGGAGCTGAGCCTATGGACAGAGCAGAGACAAGGAGGGAGGAGGGCACTTCCTCTAGTCGGGGCCCCGTCCTGTGCCGACCTACGCAGGCCTGGCAGCCGGGGCACAGAACCAGCAGCAGGTGGTGCCGTGGAAGCCCACAGGCTCCAGCACGGCCCGGCCCCTCCCCGGGCACGGCACTGTGGGCCCCGGTCTGCACAGGCGCGTGCGAGGAGGGGCGAGGCCGGAGCGCTCTCGGGGCCTCCCTGCCTCTCTCTGCAACTGATCTAGGGGTTCAGGCACCGCCCTCAGCAGGCACCCACCTCTGGAAGAAGTTCTTTTTCATGTCCAGGCTGTAGATTCTAAAGTTTCTCAGGGGAGAATTATTCAGATAGATATCCCCAATTACACCTGTGGGGAGGAGGCAAGGAAACCTGAGCAAGGCCACAGGCCAGGGGTCAGCACACACAGAGCATCCCCGAGTTCAAGTGAGGGTCCCTCCTGAAGTTTATACTCCCTGAGGGGTGCATCAGGTGGCATAAAGCCATCCCCACAAATCGCAAAGGGCATGAGAGTGAGTAATACCGATGTGCCAGGCCCCAGGATTCGCAGGGAAGAGCACGCCGAGGGCAAGGACCGCGCCGGCCTCTCTCAGGGGAAGCTGCCTTTGGGGGCCTGAGAACTCCAGTACTGGGAGATGAACTCCAGTACAGCTTCAAGGTCACTTTTGGTGGGGTCCCACACAAAATGGACCTACACCCTCAGTCAGAAATCTCCTACACAAACTAGGAGGATTAAAGGTATATTTTTTAAGTATCTCCATTGTGAACAGACAGCAGCGTGACATGGCTGCCCAGGCCCGGGGAACTGCACGCACTTGAATGGTGGAGAATTAGGGCCTTGGGGAGGGGCCAGCTCCACTGGCCCTGGGGCAACCCCGGGGTCCACTCGCCCATGGAGGTGCCCAGCGGCCAGCGCGGGGATTGAGAGGCTGGGGAACGGGAACAGCTCCCTGGGGCCTGCAGGTCCAGGGGTGGAGGGCGGGGGGACGCACACATTGCTGGAGCAGAGGTGTGTGACGTCACACGGACCTGCTGCAGAGGACGGGGACTCCACAGAGGGAGCCCAGGGCCTGGGCCGGCCAAGACTGGGACAGTCGGACTGGCAGTCCCCGCCCGCGCAGCCAGTGAAGACCAGCCTGCGGAGGGACGCTGTGGGGAGCCGCTGAGGCCCAGCGACGATGGCGGGGGGCTGACTGGGGAAGGAGGACGGTCAGCCGGGCGTGAGGGAAGCTACTCCAGGGCCCTCCCGGGAAGGACTGATCCCCAGGACCCTCGAGGCCCCGACGGCCGCACCACGCGGCTGCCCGGGCAGGTGGGCGCATCCGGGCTTCCTCGTCTCAGCAGACACGTGCGAGGGGCTAGGAAGTCGCCAGTGTCCCCGGCCACAGGAGGGCTCAGTTGGTCTGAGTTCCTATTTCATAACTTTCCTGTGTTTTGCTGTGTATAATGCACACTTTTTTGCCCAAATTTTTGAGGGAAAAATAAGGATGCACATTATACAAAGGTAATACTAATTCAGTATCTATATAAATGTTTTTAATTCTTTTATTCATGCTTATATGTTAAAAGTGTAACTCTAAAAAGCAATAATGAGATCCGTATGCAAAATAATACCCTGGAATACGATAAGCAGTTTTGTTTCTAAATATAAATAAATAAGACGTTGAATGAAAAAATTAAAAGGAAAGATTTTTCCTGAAACTTTGGGCCAAAAACATGGGTATGCATTATACATGGCAAAATACAGTATGTGAAAAACCAACATTTTAACAGATAAGAAGGAAGAAGCAAATTTAAGCAGAGAAGCTTCAGAAAGCCAGGAAAAATAAAATGAATTGGTCAAATATTCCCAGGGGGTGTGCCCCCCAGAGGTTTGTTTACTCTGTGCCCTGCGTTCCCCTCCCCACCAGAAATGAGACCATCAGTGGCTTTCCAAGGGGGTCCAGAAAAGAAATTCAGGGTGAGGGCCCAAACCGGTAGGAGTCATATGCCCTATTCTGGATTTCTGGGTATCGCCCTGCTTGGCATCCACGCCCCCTGCCCCCACCTACCAAGCAGACAGTGCCCAGCTGGGGCAGACGGAAGCCCGGGGCGATCAGGAGAGGCCGGCTCCACGCTCACTGGGCACCCACCACAGGCCCTTGGGCGGCACACACAGGAGCACTTGACAGGGAAGAGGTCAGACCCGGGGGGGCCTTGTGACCACCTTCCAGCTCCCTCCAGGGGGCCTCCCTGACGCCCGCCTCCCTCCCTGCACTGGTTCTCTACGGCCCACCTCTCTCCAGGGGGTCTCCCTGACCCGCCTCCCTGCAGTCAGCCTTGTGGCCTGAGGAGCTGGGAGGGAGAAAGGACAGCTCGGGACAGGCTGAGGGTCAGCAGCTCCTCTCCCAGCTCTGTGACCCACCTTTGCGCTGGTCATCGAGAGCATCCCCGTAGTTGACTCGCCCGCAGTTCTCCACCAGGATCCTCAGCATGGAGTAGCCCTGCCGGGGGCACAGCGGCCGATGACGACCGCCCGCGCAGCCGGCCCCCAGCCCCCCACTCCACCTTGGAGCTTCTGTGGGACTCCGGTCCTTCCCCAGGCTCCAAGGGTGGCTCTGAAAGCGTCCCTGCTGGTCAGAGAGCAAAGCTCTGCCCCACTGTCCATGCCCGACTCTGGGTGAGGAGCCTCCTGTGTTCTAGGTCTTCCTCTTTGACTCCCGCCAAACCCGCTCAGGAAGTGGCTGGTGCCAGCCACCGCGCAGCACCCCACGAAACAAACCTGGATCAAGGGGATAACAATCTGCTTCCTTTTATAGTCCAAAAATCCAACAGACACTGTGTTCACAAATACCTGCCAGACAGACAGAAAGTGCCCTTGGGTCGACAGGAGGGAGGAGTAAGCAGAAAGTCTGCTAAGCAAAGGAAGCGGGCAGAGAGAGAGAGAGTGAGTGTGTGTGTGTGTGTGTGTGCGCGCGCATGCACGCGCCGTGCACTGAGGAGGGGACAGGCAGGCAGAGGGGACACACGTGCCCAGGGTGGTAGCTGACAAGGACCACACGGGGCAGTGAGGGCCTATCGCTCCCCATGTGAGTGTTAAGAGGAGGGCTTGACCCCTGCAGGGCCATGGGAATTCAGGGGAGACACCCTTACCTGTCCCCGGTCACGCACATGACCACTGAGGACGCCAGATGTGTCAATGGTTGTCTCGTACAGAGTGTACCCAAAGGACTGGCCACTTCCGTTGTTTACCGGCAAGTTCTCCATGTTGACGGGCTTCTCAGACTTGGTTGGCTGTGTGGAAAGAAGACCGGAGGCCCAGGGCTGGGCCGAGGCAGGAGAAGGCGGCGACCTCATCTCGATGCTGCTGCGGGAGCACAGGGTGGCAGGCAGACCCCCCTGCCCGGGACTAGTGCCCTGCAGGGCAGTGCGGGGGCCCTGGCAGGACGGGGGCCTCTTACGCCTCTATTTTGATTTCTCATGGTTCCCCAGAGTTGCACAGAAGAGGAGTGTGAAAGAGGAAGATGCAGAAATAACAGATGAAGCCCAGCCACCCAGTGGCCGTCATTTGGGGTCACCACGTCCTCTGCATCTGCCACAGATGTGCCCGCTTCTCGGAGGAGGTGGGCCGACCCCCCAGCTCCGCACCCTCCACTGCACCCACCACAGCTGCAGAAGCGGACTCCCTACTGCGTCACCCAGTCCTTCTGCCGGTGCCTTTTGTCCTTTCCCACTCCCCGCTCTAGCAGAGTAGGTGGCTTTGCTCTGAGTCCTAAAGCCGGAGGGCAGGCCTCAAAGGTACCCCGAGCTGGTCCTCCCTGCTTGCACGACCGCTGTTGGGAGGCTTCCTGAACGGGCTCCCCTGCGGACGGCACTCACCTCCTCCAGGAACTGCAGGGCATCCCACAGCGACAGGTAAAGGGCTGGCCGCAGGGGCTCATATGCAGCCTTGGGGAGAAGCTCAGGCGGGGCAGGAAGAGGGCCACCTGCAGCACAGACAACAATGGGGCCATCCCAAAAGGGCCCAGCAGCCACCGCCTCCTCCAGCGCCCCCAGCCCTGGCCCCCACGCACGGCCCAAGGTGCCCCTAATCCTGGGGCCAGCAGGCAGACAGGCCGCCCTCCGGCGCACCCCCCGCCACTGGGCAGGCAACACCGGTGGAGCAGCGGGCCTTTCTCGAGTCCTCAGAGGTCTTAACGCCTACAAAAAGGCAGACCTGGCAGGACACAAACCACAATGAAAACGGCCTCCAGCCTGGCCTGTCCTCAGGCCTTCCAGCACCCAGACCTCCTGGGGGCCAGGGGGACACTGAAGAGGTGACTCCACAGGGCGTCTCAGAGCAAAAGCGAGGGCCCAGCGTTGGTGCCAGGTCTGCTGTTCGCCAGGTACCTGAGATGGAGCCGAACAATTCTCGGAGCTTGGTGTACTTGGCTGTGTAATCCCCAGCTTCAGTCAGCACCGCGTCATAGTCTGCAAGACACCAGGGCACTGTCACGGGTCACCATGTCCCAGTGTCGGTGGCAGCAGAAAGGCAGAAGCTGGGGTCGGGCCACATGGTCCCCCTCCCAGCAACGTGGGAGGCAAAATGCCTTTGGTATGGGACATCAGTGAAAAGACTAGAAATGCTAAATATCATAGAATGCCACCCAAACTGCCTGTGACCACAGCACAACCTACACTCCAGGCGTCCTCCCAGCCGTCGGGGGAAGGGCCGGGGCAGGAAGAAGAGGCTGCTCTCAGCTAAGGGCCCTCCCGGCCCCCCGAGCAGCTCTCGCCTCCCCCAGACGACGTCCAGAGGCTCGCAGGCCCGTCAGCCACATCGGTCCCCCAGAGCCAACCCCTTCCCGGGCACTTCGGGGCCAAGGTCACCCAAGGGGCCAGAGCTGTCCCTGAGGACCCTCCATAAACATCCAGACACACAGACGCTGGGTGTTCCCGGGAGGGTCGGAACTGGTGAATACTTGCCATAGCTGGTGACGTCAGACTTGTATTCATGAAAGTGCATGGCGCCGTTGATGAAGCCAAAGTTGGTGCCTCCGTGGAACATGTACAGGTTGATGGAAGAGCCAGCATCGAGGACGGCACACACTGTTTTTAGAACATCTGCAGGAGGGGGCATGTGAGGGGTGCGCAGAGTGAGTCAGGGTTTGAGAGGGGCCCTGAGTCCCCGGTCCCTCCTCAAGCCCAGCTCCGTGGCCGCCCTTCAGCTTCCACTAAACCCCAAGTCGCAAGAGGAGGAGGCGGAACCTCCAGAAGCCCCGCTGCAGAATGTGGGCCTTCCAGCTGGTTTCAAAACCGCAGCCCAGCCTCCACGGCCCACGGCTTGGACAGCCTGCCGCCCCGGGCAGCCTTCTGCCTCCACCCGGCCTGTTTCTCAACGTGGCTCCCACTTAGGAAGACACAGAAAGGTAGGATTCGTGTGAGAGGCCGTGCTGATGGCCTGCCCAGTCCTGTCCGCGTTGGAGAACGAGCCGGTAGCATGAGAGGATGGTGTCGCAGGAGAAAAGTAAGTGATGTGCAGGTATAAACAGTATTGGTCAAAGAAATGCAAAATAACAATGACCTATCTGACTGGCAAATATTAGATTGTAATACTTAGTGTAGACAAATGTGTGGGAAAGAGCTGTTCTTTAATAATGGAGAGTTAAGAATTACTACAATCTTTCTGGAAAGCAGTTTACTAAATATATATTGAAATTGCATTCCTCTATCAGTTGTATTGCTAGGAACTTCTCATGGGGAAAAATATGCCAGGTGTTCAAACCTGGATGTTCAAGAATGCTCCCTGAAATGGTATTAACAAAAAACCACTGGGGGCCAACCTAAGGGTCCCTCCATAGAGATCGGGTAAATACGCTGATTTAGAAGCTGGACACCATGGGCTTCTGTGCCTTCTTTAAAACAGTGACGGAATTTATATCTAACAGTATAGGAATGCTGTCCCTCTGCGTCCTTCGCTGGCACAGGCGGCCCGCCCTGTACAAAGGACAGACGTGACGGCACGTGCCCGCCTCCGCCTGCGAGCGCGCTGGGGCCGCAGGCAGAGGTGCAGGAGAGCGGCCTGGCAGCGCGTACTCCAGCGTTTTCTCTGGGTTCTCAGAGTTTATTTCTTCTTCCAACAGTTTCTGTACTTCCTGGATGTTTGCAATAGGCATGTGTTACTTACCTAATTACAAAAACATTATAAATCAATGTTAAAGGTCCTATCGTTCACTTCAAATGTCAGGACAAATGACCCTAGAGTATCAAGAGCAGACTATTACATGCAAAACAACCCCAGAGTCCGCTAGCAGGTTACATGGAACTCCACCCTGCTTCTCAGGGCAGCATGCACGTGGGACACAGGCCGCAGAGCGCTCACCAGAAGAATCCAGGATGTTGTGCGGGCCTCCCCAGGAGTCGAACCACCCCGTCCAGTACTCCATCACCATCTTGGGCTGATCCCTCTGGGCACCACAAAATGAGAAGGCAGAGGGTCAGAGGAGGCAGACAGAGGGAGCCCCTCCTGGAGGGGGAAGCCACCCCTGTCCAGCTCTTCCCCTGGCCTCGGAGGCCGCAGAAAGCAGAGCACAGGTGAGGAGGGAGGCACCCGCGCCGGCCGAGCCACTGTGGGCAGCCTCCACTGGCAGGTGGGGAGCCTGCAGCGGGCCGTGCTGCGCACAGCGCTGGTGAGAAAGCACGGCGTCTGCTCAAAGGCAGGTCTTCACCAGAGTCCAGCATCTGCCTTGGGAGGCTTTTCCTACATTGATTCGTTTTCTGGATCGGGCCAAGCTCTGCCTATGCTCTCCCAGGCAGGAAGGATGGTCGACAGGGTAACCACTTCCGAGCAGCTTCCTGTGGATGCAGAACCCTCTGCGGCTGCTTCCTTTTAGCTGGCAGAGAGGGCGGCTCGGCAGGCCCCTCTTCAAGGTCCAGCTTAGTTTCAGTAGCAGTTTACACAGTGGGCGCTGAAGAGCAGGGCTCTGCGGTGCGGCTCCCCGCAGGGCAGGCTCTGCGGCCGCGGCGGGCCCCGTGGGCTGGCTGGGATGCCAGCTTCGGCACAGGCTTGCCCAGGCCGCAGACTTCCTTCCCAGGGCCCCGCTCTGCTCTGCCGTGTCTGCAGGAGCCCCAGAGCAGCTCCTGGGGGAGCGGGGGTCAGGGGTGAGCAGAGGGCAAGGACGGATTTGCTGGTATTTCGGGATCCACAGGAGAGCCTTCCTCATTCATCACACACCTTCTCTGTTAGTGACAGCAAAACACTGAGAGGCAACTGAGTGTGAAGCAACAAAACCTGAGCTAAGGCCGTGCAGCGGACACACGGGCCATTGAGTAGATGGTACCCACCAGGCCAGGGGAAAGGTCAAAGTAGGGCAATGATTTTTTTTTTCCCCTCAGCAAGACTGGTGGCTTGGTTTTCTTTACAATCGTCTGCCTCCACAAAAAGGGGACATACAGTAGGGCCTTCAGGTCACTGGAAAGGAGACGTGTCCTCTAAGTCCCGCATGTCAGTGGTCTCCGGGGCCAGGAGGGGACTCTTTGACTTGAGGGTGCTGGGGCCGGGGCGGGGCGTTCCCCAGTGGCCCGGCCGCTGTGGTGCGCCCTGCGGGTCTGGCTGGAGCCGTGCGCTCACTCTGGCTGTGTGTGCGCCCTAACCGGCCGCTTACTGCGCATCCGTGTCCGCTCTGCAAGCTTGTCTCCTCGACTGTGGGACAGCGACAACGGCAGCCGGCGGCCACGGCGCTGGGAAAACGGAATGCGAGAGCGCGGGGCACACAGTGTCCGACAGTTAGGAAGTGCTCGGGAACGTTCTCCTCCATCATCTCCATCACTGAACGTGGGCGTGAGGGGCCAGCGAGGTGCTGCTCGGCGCCCCCCAGGGAAGCAGAGCGGGGCCTGTACTGTTGGATCACTCATTCAGCCAAAACAAGGGAGCAGCCACATTCCCTTCCTAGAGGGAAACGCCCATCTCTGCACCTCGGCCAGAAAGGCCGTGAGCAGAGCCGCTCTGTCAACAGGGTGGCCCGGCCCGGGGCTACCGGTGGGGCCGCCGCTCCAAGGACAGCCAAGAAGGAGCCGACCTGAAGCCCTGCTGCCTGGGTGCTTTCCCCGCGGGGCCTCGTGGACCCTCAAGCAACCTCTAGGTGCTTCCTGGAAGCGGGGTATACCACATGTGTGGCGGGCAGCCTGCGGCTCCCTGGGCCATCCTGGGACAGAAGTCGGGGAGGCACAATCCTGCTTAGCTCCTGGGCGACTGTTTATTTGATACATCTCTTCCCAGGCAGGCTGCAGCTCCGGGAAGCCAGAGGCCCTGCCATCCTAGTCCCTGCACTGGAATGGGCCGCGCCCTGCCCCAGGACAGAGCGGGCACCCCGTGAGCGGAGGAGGAGGGCGGGTGGGGTGTGGGGCTGGAGGTGGGCCCACGGCATCCGCCGCCTCCCCCGGTCTGCCTCACAGAGTCTGCCTGCCCCACCTCTTCCAGGGCAACTTCCCCGCCCCTTCTGCTGGTCCCCATAGACGCCAGGAGTAGCTGCGTCATACACACGGGTGGCCCTCGTCCTACATGACTTCACACCACCGTGGGACTCCACATGGCTGTGTCGTAGGTCCCTACCTCTGCTCTAAAAACACACAGCTGGGATGCAAAGCAGCCCCAGCACCTCCACGTGGCTTCTATTCACAAGGGACGTGGACAGCCCAGGAGGCGTGCACTCGTCCAACCGTGGTGGCAGCTTGGGGCAGTCACACCCTCAGTAACATGTGGTGACAGATGGGGCCCCAGCTGCTATGGCCACATCACAGCTAAGCCCTCAGGAGAGAAACACACACTCGAGAAAAGAGAAATCAGTCAGAACAGAATTTAACTGCACATTCCCATCCGTCTGATGGATGTTGAGATGCATCCAGAAACTCCTCTCTCCTCCGGACCTGGAATGGACCAGGCCTCCTGCCTGTGGGCGCCCATAATCTCTCCGGGCCCAGAGGAAACTTATGGTTGAGGTCAGACTTGTACAGTACAGGGCAGGGAAGTGCCCCCCCGCCCCTCCACGCCACCCAGGCCCAGGCCCAGCCTGAGCAGTCCAGACCTAGTTCAATGAACAAAATCCTCGTCAAGAGGCCTCTGTGAGCACGCCAAGCCTTGAGCTCCAGGAGTGGCCCCCTTTCTCAAGAGGAGGAAACCCGCATCTAGGCATCGGCCCACAGGGTGACACCTCGGAGCAGTGTCCACACTGGCCCCGCACCCCCGCAACCCAACCCCCTCCACACCCCCCCGCCAGGGGCATGGCTACATGGTGCACAGGGCGGGCTCTGCAGTGCGGAAGGAGGGCCGGGAGCCGAAGGCTGGGAGCCCAGAGTCCCTCTGCCCCTGTGGGGTCACTGAGGACCAGCGCAGACACTCCAAAGGACGGCAGGCTCCCCGGCAGAGGCTCGGCCTAACTCTCCCTTAGGTTCCCCACCCGCAGGCCGAGCGGGCAGCCGGCTTCCCTGGGCCAGACTTACCTGGACACGTAGGAGGAAGGCGCTCAGGAACTGCAGCTCGTGCTGCGACTGTAAGTTGATGGTGGCGAGCACTGTGGGCGGGAAGGAGAAAAGAAAACTAAGTATTGTCTTAAAGCCAGAAGACTTTCTGAATTCCCCCAGACCTTTCTTAATTCACCAGCAAAATAAATTAACTAATCTTGACATTGTTTCCCACCTCTAATTAGAGCTGAGTTCCTCTGATGTCAGATTTATCTTGTTCATCTTGACAGCTCCACCGCCCAGCACAGCCGTGCGGAGCCGTCACCCACTGAGCATGTGCTCTTGATTGATGCAGTTTTTACAACCGAGTGTGCGTTTCTGTTAACGACTCTTTTGTAGAAGCCTAGAGCCTAAACCTTTGCACCTCAAGCATCTAGTGCAGAGTAATGACTTAAATAAAGATTCCCCTTTTATTGCTTAGAGGAGGATTAATTTTTTATTCTACCCAATAATGTGTTGTTGTTTTTTTTTTAATTTAAATCAATATTTTAAATGGCTCCCCACCCAGGAAAGGTATGCCAAAGAAAGGTGTGCTTCATGTGGCCTGTGGATCCGGGCCCACCCCAGCGGCCAAACACGGCCCTGGGGCTCCCTGACCACTCTCTCCGCCAGCTGTGGGCCTCACTCGCACCGGCCGTGGCCTAAGGCCCAGCGGTCCTGCAAGGCCTGGCCAGCGGGGCACCTGCAGGCCTTCCTGTCCGACTGAGCCCCTGGTTCCCAGGGATTAAGGACAAACAATGGTGAGGCCCCTGAGGTTGGGTAATTGCCAGAACGTCTCACAGCTGGTGAGCATCAGGGCAGAACACCTACAGGCCCAGGTGACACTGACCCACTGTCCCGCGATGTCACTGTCCCCCAGATACCCGCTGGGTAAGACCCTATATCAGGCCCCTCCGCAGCTAAAGTGGGAGCTCCTTGAAGACAGATGCCGGTCTGAAGCTGACCGGGCAGAAATCCCGCAACAGCGGGACTAGCACAGCGAACCGAACAGCGCATCGATTCCTGTCGCTCCTGACCCTGCACTCAAATAAAAAGAAAGGGAAGAAAAGGCAGGAGGCCGTGAGGAGCAAGAGCTGGAGAGGAGACACAGCAGAGATGGTTCCAAGGAAGTCTCAGGAGACTGGAAAGGGGAGAGGGTTGGTCAATGGCCTAGGAAAACAGGGGTCACGACAGGCACTTCACCTCGTGGCCAAGGCCCGGCGCGGGGCCAGACACCCCGTCCCTGCCCAAGCACTCCTCCAGCCTCTGTCCCCGCCAGTGGCGGTCCCCACAGGCAGCCGGCTCTAGGCTGGGAGGGCCCAGGCACAGCCTAGCGTAGGGGAGAGGCAGGACCGGCGAACGCGGACAGTCTGCAGGGGGCGCCCTCCATTCCTCCCACTTGCCCCCGGAGTATCTGTGGCAACGCACCACAGGAGTCTTCTCTGGACACATTTACTGGAGCTACAGGCAACTCCTCCAAACAGGGACACTTGGGTTTGCCTCTTTGAGACAGTCCCCGGGCCAGGTCACCCCACAGAGCAGCACACCTGTCCCCAGCCTCTCTAGGTACTCACTTCCCAAGTGGCAGGTTAGTTAGCCCCTCTTCCTTAAACTGCTCAGTCAAGAGCCAGGCAAATGAGTAAGTGCCCTCGCATGGAAGGCTGGAGAACAGGTAGATATTTTTAAAAAAAGAAGAAGAAAAGAAAAAAGGTAAAATATCTTCAGAGAGAAAGAAGAAAGGCATACCCATTTAAAAAATATGCCATGGGAAAAGAAATATACTCAAGAAAAATGGGATCCAGGAAGTAACAGGACTGGAAGATTAAAAGCTGAGGAAGTCACCCAGAAAATAGAATAAAAGGGCAAAGAGATAAAAAAAGCAAAAAGATACGCAACTTAGAGTCGCTATGAGAGTCCAATCACAGATAACAGGAATGACCAAAGATCAGAAAAAAGAGCGGAAGGCACATATGAGAAATGTAACAACTGAATGTCCCACATTGGTGACCATCCCCATTTCAATCCCAGTGGCCACAGCAGTGCCACAAAAAGCAAAACGTCTCATGTGCAAGGACAGCACTGTGAGATCCAGAATATCAAGGATCACGGGGAACATTCTAAAATTCCCCAGAAATAGGAAAGGGCAAAACAGAGCCTATAAGGGGATTGGGACCCAGAATGTCCTTGTTGTTCGGCAGCAACAGTGGATGCGAGATGATAACACAGTCATGCCATTAAAGCCTGGGACACGGGTCCAGCAGGAGACACAGGCCAGCCTCGGTGACCACGCAGGGGGCGCATGCAGGTCGGGGACAGCGAGGTCACCAGCCGTGTCATCAGGCTTGACACAGAGTCTGACACGTACAGGCATTTGCGAAACACCCGTGTTAGAAGAGTGGAAGGTGTTTGGTAAAGCGTTTAAGAAAAAGGGGAAAGGGTAGAAAGAAAAGAGAATTGAAAAGAAAAATAAATGGGATAATTACATTGAAAGTGACAACTGAGCACACTAAGCAAGTCAGTTCACACACGGCGCAGGCCATCGGGCACGCTGCCAGCCTGCGGGGGACCTTTCCTGCCAGCCGGGCCCGGCCTGTCGAAGTCAAAAGAAGCCGGGAGGGGGCTCCACGGGGCAGGCGAGGCGGCCAAGAGAGCCAGAGCCGCGGAGCACGGGGTCAGTGGGTGGGCTTTTCTATCCAAAAAGGCGGAGTTGTACAGGTATATCATCTGGAAGCATCAAGGAAAATGCCAGAGGAAAGGTGAAAGAGTTCAAAATGGTCATTTCTGGGGAGCGGGAGCAGGGAGGCGGCACAGTATTTCTTGATAAGCCTTTCTAAGATTTGACTTGTATACCTTGTGAATGTGTAACTTATAATTCCACTTTTAATTAATTGAAAAATACGTCACTCCAGGCAGCAACAGCAGGCAGCAGGCAGTGCTCCTGAGCGGTGCGGTGGGGGGGTGACGGCCCCCAGCTCCCCCAGGCTTCCCTCTGCAGAGCGCCCACTGAACACCCTGCTACCTGCCCAGGCCGCAGCTCAACCCACCACCCACAGCCCAGCTCCGAACAGTGGGAGCTGGAGGCCTTGACAGCAGCTACGGGGAGACAGCACCACCGCATGGGAACAACAGGAATGGCAGCTGGGCCTCCTCAGGAGAGAGGGCCTGGGTGCTTGAAGAACGCGCCCCTCCTGGAACCAGGGCCTCCTCCCGCCCATTCCCCCAACAGTTAGCCCGAGTGCCCACTGCACACCGGGCGCTGGCCCTAGGGCTACAGAGATGCGAGTCTCTTCTTCAAGTGTTCAAGACTGTGCAGGGCCATGCAGAGCCACAGCGAAGCACATGTGGGCTGCAACCCAGACCAGTGCAGCAGCCGGAGCCCACCAGGGGCCGGGGGGTGGGGGGGCCTGGCGTGGACAGGACATCCTCGTGCACTAGGTTCCCAGGCACAGACGCAGCCGGCCCCGTGCAGCTCCCTGCTGTGCCGAAACAGGTCAATCAAATGGAGAAACTTCCCAGTGTTTGAAGGCACAACGCAGCCGAGCAGAGCCCCAGGGTGGGCTGCAATCCCGAATGGTGCGCGCAGGCTGCTGGCTCCGAGGTGACCTCCAAGACAGTGGGAGGACATAGAGCACCTGAGCCCTGCACACGTGGCGGAGGCTGGGGCGTCAGGCCTGTGCGAGGGGCAGCCGGGAGGGAGGCCAGCAGGGAGCAGCAGGGTGAGCAGGAGACAGCTGGCCGGCGGGAAGCAGAGGCCATGTGGGAGGCCCTTCCAGGCCTCTCTCGGAGTTTGTGCTTCACTCTGCGCGCGTCAGGGAGCACCTGGAGTTCAGGTGGGGTGAGGTGACCTGAATGACATTTTCAAAGGCTGCTGTGCTGAGGGAAAGTTGTCAGGGAGTCAACAGGGAGGAAAAAGGGAGATGAGAAATAATGGTCATAGTTGAGGTGGTAGAACTTGTTTGAATCCCAGATGAATTTTGAAGATAAAGATAAAAAGGGTTTGCTGGAGACTGTGTGTCCGGCATATGGAAGGAGAGGGGCCAGGAGTGACCATGAGGATTAGGGGCTGTGCGATTGGGGGAAATGGAGCTGCAATTTCCTGAGAACAGGAGGGGCGGGGTCTGGGGGGAAACAGGCAAGTGCGGGTCCCTGACGGTCCCCCTGAGACTGGCAGCCTCCTCTGGGATGGCGGGAAGCCCAGGAGGCAGAGGTGAGGAGGGAGTTTAGGAAAGGCCTTGTTACAACATGGAGGCGGTGTTTACAGTGACCTTGATGGCACCCCCGGATGTCACCAGATAGAGGGTTCATTCCAAGGACGAAGCCACCAGAATGTGAACATTAGAGGCCAGGGAGGGAGAGGGTCCAGGATCAAATACCAAGACGGAGCTGCCCCGGAGGTCAGAGAAAAATGGGGAAATGGTGTCCTGGACACCAAATGAGAAGACAGATTTGAGGGAGAGAGAAGGACGGTTGTTCACAAATAAAGTCAGCCGGGTCAGAGGCGACAAAGATTAACCACGTGGAGGCCGCCGGGACTGGAAGGAGCCACGTCCGTGAGGTGGGGAGGCGGAACGCGCTCCGCAGGGTGTAAGAGCGAGGCGGGCGGTGATGAGGGGCCAGTAAGCATGCGCATGGGAAGGCCGCTGAAAGGGGAGCCTGGGGGCAGGGGAACTAGTCAAGAGGTTTTTCTGTAGAAGACAGAAACCACAACATGTTTGTCCGGCAGTGGAAATAATCCAAGAGAGGAAAGCTGCTGATCCAGCGGCCAAAGGGGGCGCTGCTGAGCAAGCCCTTGAGCCGGGAGAGGAGGAGGACTCAATGCACAAGCGGGGAGCAGCCCGCGCATCTGCAGTAACAGGAGGGGCGCACGGCTGGTGGGACGCGCTACGCGGTTGTCCACAGCACCCCCTGCCCGCCAACTCGCTGTCCCTGTGGGGCTGCTCAGACCCTCGGAAGGGCCAGTCATCTCTATAATTCGAGCAGGACTAGGGGAGGCCATGCTCCCAGCATGCCCAGCGCTTCATCTGCGCGGCCCCTTTGGAGACGCTCGGAGGCCTCAGACGCCCAGCCCACACTCCCTGGGTCTTGCGTCTGCAGAGCACGGCCCGCGTAAGTGCGGGTGGAGAAGGAAGAGCAACTACAGGGCCGGCCACCGCAAGTCCGCCTCCGGCATGGAGTCCTTGCGGGCCCAGAGCTTCTGGCCGGCACCCTGCGGGAGCGGGCCTCAGAGCAAGTCCCCTGTGGTGGGGCCGTCAGGGAGCGCTGTCCCGCCCCCACGCAAGTACCTCCGTTGACGACCCCCTTGCTCAGGCCGTCCTTGTTGTCTGAGGTCAAGAGCAGCTCCACAATCCCTCGGTCCTCCAAGGCCTGTGAGGGGAATGAGAGTCGTCAAAGTCCATCATTCCCCAGAGCTCCCGCCGGGGCACAGCTGTGAAGGACGCTGCAGTGGGAGAAATGGGAAGAGATCCTAACAGAGCCTTTATTTCTCTGCTGAAAAAAGAAACCCACCCCGTCTGTGTGCACCATGTTCGACAAAGCCCTCGTTGCAGGAGGTCCAGCTGGGCAGGGGCAGGGCTGTCCGGCTCTGGCGAGGTGCCCCGTCTGGCCACTGTGCTGTTCCTAGACAGGACCGCTCAGAGTCCAGCTCAGGAAGGCCAGTTGCCATACTGCCACCCAGCAAGAGACCACAGGGATCCACGAGGGGGCCGGGGCCTCAGGGACAGCCCACTCCCCCCGCGCCCCGCTGCACCCTCACCGGAAGCAAGCGGCCTGTCCCTTCCCCACACCCCGCAGGGTGGGCCCTGGTCACTGCCACAGCACAGTCACGTGCCCGTGGTGCACTGCACGCGCCCAGTAGGACGGTCGTGCTCCTTGGAGGTTGTAAATCTACTGAAGAAGTGGAAGGAACACACTCTGTGCTGAAGGACAATAACCATATTTTACTCAAAACAACCGCTAACACTGTGAAGCCTTTACCGTCCTCCAGGCCTTCTAAGCACTGTACTTCCACAGACGGGCCCATATGGTCTTCACCATCAGCCTCTGGATGGTACAGTGCAGAGTCTCAAAGAAGTTAGATAAGGTGTTACAGGTGCAGAGCTGATGAACAAGGATAGACCTGAACCCAGAGTCTGTCTGCCGGCAAACGCTCTGGCCTGGGCAGTGGACGGTCGGGGATGAGGAAGCCCAGCCAGGGGGATCCGCCTGTCACTTCCCTGCAGATACCATACATGGCTGCTGACTTCAACCCAATTCTCCCGGAAACAGGGAGGTAGAAAGATAACCCAACAGATGCATAAAGCTCGTGTCTGACCCCAGATCCTGGTAAGGAAGGGGAAGAGGGGCCCTATGCTCAGGACAACAGAAGCCGCAGGAGTTTAATCCATTAGGCGAGGTGGGATTTTTATCAAAACCCTGAAAAGCCACTGCCTCACAACTCTGGCCATTCGGTCACTCACTGGTATCTCACAAACTTTGCTTAGGTTACCACCATGTACATACAGTATTGCGGGGGCTGGGAGGCTGAAAACATGGAGGATGGCTGCCTTCTATGGCTGTGCCTTTCACCCATGACATTCCGTAGGCACCCATGACCTTCCATGGGCACTGAGCGACTGCGCCCTGAGCACCCCTATGCCAAGAGCATTCTGCACGTGCAGAAGGGTGGGGAGAGGGAGCAAGAACCTACAGGCTGATGTGCGTGAGCCTCAGTCTACCTGTTTGCAGGGACTGAAGTAGTTTCCAGGTGGAAAATGAATCCACCTAGGATGGCAGAAGAGCCGCTGTCCAGGAAACCAAGCGCTGAAGCCAGAGCAGACTTGATTCGATGGATTCGGAGGCCCCTTATCATTTCCTCAGTTCACACTGTGGCCAGGCCTCCTGAGGACTCCAAAGCCAATGCCAGTGATTCTACCGAAGGCTTCTTTACTGGCCACTGTCTGCCTACAACAGTGCCGAGTCATGTGACCTCACACACAGCACAGTTCAGACAGGCCAATAGCCTCATTAGCCCAATCCATAGGAGAGAGAATGGAGGTTTAAAAACATTAAGGCATTTTTCAAGGTCTCAGCCACTAAGGGGCAGTCACCAGAAGTGAATGTCAGCCAGCTCCTTCAAGCGTTCCTCCAGCCCCTCCCTGCCCCGAGCAGCCATATATTAAATCAACGGTCGGTCGCCACCCCACCCACACATTGAAATCAGATGTCTGAGTGCCACACGGAGGGTCTTAAATTGGTGTGGTATGTGGCCTGGGCCCTGGGATTTTCTAAAATCCTCAGACGAAGCCAATGTGCGGGCGAAGCCTCAGATGCCGGAGTAAGAGCCGTCCCTCCAGGAGGACTTTCCTAACCCTCACCACTCAGGGAAGCTGATTCCTTTCCTCCCAGGCTCTGCAACACCACGGATGCACCGCTGTCCCGTCACACGCCGTGAAGGGGAAATAAGGGACTCCCCTCCGGAAATGAGCATATGGAGAAAGTTTACTCATTAATAAAAGGCGCCACTGAGAGATGCGGCGTTAATGGGAGAAAAGCACTCGTCCTGCTGTGAAACCGCAGCCCACAGTGCGTTCCAGAGGGAGGACTGGGAAGAGACACAGCAAGCCGATACTTACTTTCTTGATGTAAGGCATGTAGTCAGGGTCTTTGTTATAGGAGCCATATTCATTCTCCACCTGCACAGCGATGATGGGGCCTCCGTGCTTGTACTGGGGAAACGCGAGAAGCAATCAGAAGCTGAGTCTGTACTGGGAACTGTATGGCCCACTTTAACCAGACTTATCACCAGTTAGCAGCAAAGCATCCCATTTGCAAGCAGAAGTCCCAAAAGGTTTGGTATGGAACTGAGAGTGAGGTCAGCGAGACCCTGAGTGGACAGCTCCAGGACCGTATTCGCCTGTGGAAGCACCACAGAGACAACTCTGTACTGGCTGAAGCCACTCTGCACGAGCCCTGGAAGCCAACCAAATCTTTAAGCAAACAAAGAAATGCCCAAGAAAAGACATTCAAAATGGTATGTAATTGCATGTTTTGCTTGCCCTTGTCTTACCCCTCCCCGGTGTAGCATGGCACAGTCAGAAAAAAAAAACCCAACTCCCATTCCCCTCCCTCAGGATCAAAGAAACAAAATGGAACTTGTTTGCAATGCTCTGGGCTGTCCGTGGGCTATCCATGGGCTGTCCAGTGGACTTGGAGCTGAAGCAGGGAATGTTGGCAAAGCCTGGGCCTCAGGTGTGTGTCTTTCTTTAGAAACTGTTTCTAGAGATTTACAGTGGAACCTCGGTTCTCATTGTGAATTCCTTCCAGCAAGTGGCAAGCAAGCGCCGAGTGCTGAAACATTTTTTCTCGTCAAAATGCAACAGGGTACAGGGTTTTACGAGTTCTGAAGCTGACGAATACTGAGGTACCACTGCATTTTGTTCCTTTGAATGAGCCATGTTTCCCTGTTTCTTGTATGTCTTATGTGTGTTTTTTGCTGTTGAAAATCAGGTATTTGAAAAAACAGTCACAGCTCCCAGTCTTTTTGCAGATTTGAGGGGAACACCTTCACTATTTAACAGGCTCCTAAGCCTTGAGATCAGCCTGGATAAGGGCTTGACATCTTCCCAAGTACATTCTGGGCATCTGTCCTGTGTGGACAGGATGTGTGTGGTGTGTGTGAGCGTGTTTATTTCACCAGCTGCTTTTCGTGTCTCCATGTCCCAGAGTCTCACCCCAGCTTCTTCGTGGGGCCTTAAACGTTCCACCACATCCATCTCACACCCCTGCCCCCAGGCATCCCTGAGCCTGCTTGTTTCCCCTGGTTGTTTTCACGTGTGTGACCCACCGCTGTCCTCAAAGAACACACACACTGGACTTGCCAGACCAAAGTTTTTAAACAACGGTCATAAATATGCTCAAAGAGCTAGAGAACATCATGGACAAAGAAATCAGGAAAAAACTATATGAACAAAATGAGAATATTAATAATGAGACAGAAACAATAAAAAAAACTAAACAGAAATTCTAAAGCTAAAAAATACAATATCTAAACGTAAAAATTCACCATAGGAGTTCAATGTCAGATTCAAACCAGCAGAACCAACAATGGGCAAACTCAAAGGCTAGTCATTTTAAATTACTGAGTCTGAGAAGAAAAAGAAAAAAGAATGAAGAAAAGTGAACAGAGCTTCAGAGCCTGACTGCAATGTCAGTAGACGGACAGCTATGCTCATTGCCATCTCCCCAGAAGGAGAAAGAAAAGGGCACAGAAACTTGAGGTAATAATAGCTGAAAATCTCCCAAACCTGAGGATATATATATACAAATTCAAAAACCTTCAATGAATTTTAAGTAGCATTAACCCAGAAACCCCCACCAAGACACGTGACAATCAAACTGTCAAAGAAGAAGACAGAGAGAGATTCTTGAAGGAAACTAGAGAAAAGCAACTTGACATGTACAAAGGATCCCCAGTAAAACTACCAATGGCTGTCCCATCAGAAACCTTGCAGGACAAAGGCGGTGGAATGATGTATCCAAAGTTCTCAAGGGGAAAAAACTGAGACTTCTGTATGCAACGGAACTGTGCCTCAAAAATGAGGGAGGTATTAAGACATTCTCAGACAAATAAAAGCTGAGGTATTTTATTCCCTCTAGACTTGCCTTACAAGAAATGCTACATGAAGTCTCTCAAACTGAAATAAAAGGGTGCTAGATGGTAACCTTAAGCCATATGAAAATATAAAGTTCTACAGTAAAAGTAAATATGTGAAAAACGTAAAAGTCATTATTATTATAATTTTAGTTTATAACTCCAATTCTTATTTCTTTATAGGATTTTAAAGATAAATGCATAAGAAATAATTACAAATATATAATAATGGGTATACAATATAAAAAGATGTAATTTGTGATATCAATAACATAAAGGGGGCAGAGCTGTAAAGGAGTAGAGCCTTTGTTTGTGATTAAGTTAAATTGGTATAAACATAAGACAGAACATCATAAATTTTAGACAGTATATGTAAACCAATGGGAACCACAAGGAAAATATCTATAGAATATACACAAAAGGAAATAAAAGGGGAATCAAAACTTATTACAAAAAATTAACTAAGTACAAAAAAAGTCATGAATGGAGAACATCAGGGAGAAAAAGCTGTAAGACATACAGAAAACAAATAACAAAATGGCAAAAGTAAGTGCTCACCCATCAGAAATTACTTTAAATGTAAATGGATTAAGTTCCTCAACCAAAAGACACAGATCTGCAGAACGAATAAGAAACAGCATTGAACTATACGCTGTCCACAGACACTCACTTTAGATCTAGAGAGTCGCATAAGTTGACAGTGAAAGGACGGAAAAAGGTATTCTGTGCAGAGAGTAACCAAAAGGGAACAGGGGGCCTTCAAGTCAGAAACTGTTAAAAGAGACAATAAAGGGTATTTTATATACATACATACATATGTAGTTATATAATTATAAAAATAATAAAAGGGTCAATTTAGAAGATATAACAATTATAAAGCTACATGCACCAAACACCAGAGCTCCAAAATATAGGAAGCAAATATTAATAGAATTGAAGGGGGAAAAGACAGCTATATAATAATAGTGGGAGACTTCAACACCCCATTTTCAATAATAGGTCACTGACAAAAGATTCATAGGGAAATACAGGACTTGAACAACATATAGATTGACAGGACCTAAATATATATACATATATATAAAACACTCCACCCAACAAAAGCATAACATGTGTTTTTTTCAAGTGACATGGGATATTCTCCAAGATGGATCATATGTTAGGCCACAAAATAAATTTTAATAAATTTTAAAAGGTTGAAATCATAAAAAGTATTTTTTAATTACTATAGAATGAAACTAGATCCCAAAAGGAGAAAGAACACTAAAAGAGTCACAAATAAGTGGAAACTAAACAACACACTTTCAGACACCAGTGGCTCAATGGAGAAATCATAAAATAATTTTAAAATATCCTGAGACAAATGAAAATGAAAACACAACATAACAAACATGGGGTGTGGAGAAAGCAGTGCTAAGAGGGAAAGTTATAACTGTAAACACTTTAAAAAGGAAGGGTCTCAAGTCAACAACCTAACTGTTCACCTTAAGGAAGCTGGAAAAGAGAAACAAACTAAACTCAAAAGTACCAAAGTAATAAAATAATAAAAATTAAAGTAGAGATTAAAATAGAGAATAGAAAAAGAAAAATCTACAAAACCAAGATCTGGTTCTTTGAAAAGATCAACAAAATTGAAGAATCTTTAGATTAACTAAGATTCAAATAACTAAAAATCAGAAACAAAATAGATGTTACTGCCAATTTTATAAGGATAAAAAGAATTATAAGAGAAGAATATGAACAATGGTATGCCAACATATTGGATAACCTTGATGAAACAAATTCTAGAAACACACAACATGCCAAAACCAACTCATAATGAAATAAAAAAGAACCTTAATAGACTTACAGTGATTAAAGAGGTGTACACCAATCCTTATCAAACTCTTCCACAAAATTTGAAAAATAGGGAACACTTCTAAAGTCATTCTATAAGGGCAGTATTAACTAAAACCAGAAGTCTCTGCAAGAAAAGAAGAAAACTACAGACCAATATCCCTGATGAATATTGATGCAAAAGTCTTTAACAAAATACTAGCAAGCCAAATTCAATAGCATATTAAAAATATTATACACCATGAGCAAGTGGGATTTATCCTTGAACACAAAGATGGTTCAACAAAAATCAATGTAACAAAATGAAGGGGAAAAAAACCATATGATCATCTCAATTGATGCAAATAAAGCATTTGACAAAATTCAATGTACTTTCATAATAAAAAACACACAACACATTAGAAATATATAAAACTATCTCAATATAATAAAGGCTATATATGAAAATTCCACAGCCAAATTCACACTCAATGGTAAAAGATTGAAAACTTTAGAGTAAGACAAGGGTTCCTGCTTTCAGCGTTACTATTCAACATAGTACTCATAGTACTGAAAGTTTTAGGCAGAGCAGTTAGACAATCAATCAATCAATCAATAAAATCTCACGTGCATGGTGAAATGATTTTTGACAAGGGTGACAAGATCATCTTTTCAACAAATGGTGGTGGAGAAAATGGGATATCCACATATAAAAAAATAAACTTGGACCCTAACCTTAAACTATATACAAAAATTAACTCATAATAGATCATAAACCTAAACATAAGAGCTAATACTATAAAACTCTTAAAGAGACAGGAGAGGCTCTGTGACATTGGATTTGGCAATGATTTCCTCGACATGGTAGCAAAAAAAGATATGCTAAACTTAATAAAAGTGTAAAATTTTTATACATTAAAGGATACAATCACCAAGAGTAAAAAGGCAGCCCTGGGAATAGGAGAAGATATTTGCACACCGTCAATCTGATACAAGATTGATACCCAGCATATATAAAGAACTATTACAGCTCAACAACCAAAAACTCAATTAAAGACTGTGCAAAGAATTTGAAATATTTTTCAAAGAATACAAACAAAAGGCCAGTAAGCACATGAAAAAACACTCTGCATCACTAATCATTAGGGAATTCAAATCAAAACCACAATGAGATACTACCTTATACCCATTAGAATGGCTTTTTATCAAATAAACAGAAAACAGTAACACTAACCATATAATCCAGAAATGCCACTTCTGGATGTGTATCCAAAAAAAGTGAAAACAGGGCCTGGAACAGATATTTGTCCACTAACACTCATAGCAGCATTATTCGAGTGCGGCAAAAGAACCTAAAAGCCCATTCAAGAATGGCTAGACAAACAAAATGTGGTGTATACCTACCATGGAAAATTATTCAGCCTTTTTTAAAAAAGGAAATTCTGACACATGCTACAACATAGATATAAATCTTGTAGACATTGTGCTAATTAAAAGAAGCCAGTCCCAAAAGGACAAATACTGTGTAATTCTACTTATATGAGGTCCCTAGCGTAGTCAAGTTCATAGAAACAGGGGAAAATGGCGGTTGGCAGGGTCTGTGGAGAGGAACAGAGTCAGTGTTTCATAGGGACAGAGTGTCACCTCGGGAAGGTGACAAAGCCCTGGGAACCAGGGGTTGGTGATGACTGCACAATAATGTGAATGGACGTATTAATGCCACTGAACCACACACTTAAAAATGACTAAAATGGTTAACCTCACGTTATATTTTATCAGGGTAAAAAAATAAAATAATTACGTTATTCTCAGAAAACAACTCCTATTTAAGAACGCTCCCGAGTCCAATTCCTGGCACGGCCTCCCCCTGCGCCCGCCCCACCTCCACCCAAGGGGCCGACTCCCCCGAGGACCTCCATCCCCCTCCGGAGCTCCAGGCCAAGAATTTCCTAGCTTCGTTTGTGATGAGGACTGCCAGATTTAGTAAATAAAAATGTAAGACATCCAGTGATACTATGGGGGACCCAAAAAACCTGGTATTTATTTATAAAAAATTGTGTATTTATTCTTACATGTTTACATTTCAGTCACCTTCAAAGTACTCTCCATTTGATGCGATGCACCTATCGAGACATTTTTTCCACCGCTCAGAACAGTTCTGAACTCACTGATTTTGATGGCTTTTAGTGCTTCTGCGGTTTTTTTGTTTGTTTCACTTCTTCCATAATGTTTCCCTTTGAGGACTTTAAAAAAAAGAGAATTCTGATTTTCTTGAGGTTCCCCCTTGTACTTGAATTTACAATTAGTAATTTTTATATAGACAATGAATATTTTTAATGTATTTCCCATGCAATATTTGGTATATATGATACTAAAAAAACCTATTACTTATCTAAAATTCAAATTTAACTGCATTCCTGTGTTTTGCCTACACTACAAATGATCAAACAGTTCCTTTGATCTATGTCTGCTATTTATTCAACACCATTGATTCAACAGCTACTTTTATTGATGTACTTTTTTTATTGATGTATTAATTTGTTGATGTATTAATCAGCAACATTCTTCTCCTTTTTACATAGCAATTGGGTTAATTATTCCCATACCCGTTTTCTTATTGCTTCCAATTTTTAAATGTAATGTTAATATACCTTCTCTCCCCAAATCATTTTAACACATGTGTTTTGAATAATGAATGTGTGTACCATGCAGCACCTTTTGGTAGTAGAAGGATGTACCTTGAAAAGTCATCAATTGTAATTTTATAGTTGCAAAAATCCTTGTCTTACAGGCACAGGCCTATTCACATACAAGGGGAGGATCCCCCCAAAACGGAATTATCTTCTGGAGGGCAGGCCCCTTGTAGCACAGGCTTCCCCTGCTGGGTGAGTGTTCTAGGAGCCCATCTGCATCAGGGCTCCAGCGGGTATTGTTGTGAGAGGCTGCGTTTGGCTTCAGTCAATTTTTTTGAAGACTCTTTCAATGCATTTGCCCATTTCATGACGCATGATTCACGAGCGCACCTGCCCACACCACGCTGTGTGTTCAGCAGATTTTGACCGAAACAGCATGACCCCGGTGCCCCTCCCTCCCTGTTCACCAGATCACTCCCTGAGCAACATTTTTTTCTCCCTGGATAAAAAACGTCCTCAAAGGGAAATGTTTCGCTGATGTGGAAGAGCTGAAAGAAAAAACAGCAGAACCACTAAAAGGCAGCAAAATCAGAGTTCAAAAACTGTTGAGCAGTGGAAAAATGTCTAAATAGGTGTATTGCATCAAACAGAGAGTACTTTGAAGTTGGCTGAAGTTTAAACATTTAAGGACACACACTTTTCTATAAATAAGTCCCGGGGTTTGGGGGGCGCCCCCCCTCGTATGCTCCTCTGGATGTAGAACTGAGCCATGGGCTTCCGGGACCCAGACGGGATTCTCCGCTATATCGAGTGCTGGGGCCTGGCCCCGTATGGAGCCACGGGGGCCCTCGCCCCGGCCAGCTCTGTCGGCACTCAGCCCCGAGACAGCACTGAGACAGACGGACCTTCCAAAGGACAGCCCCTGCGAGCCCCTCCCATTATAGGTCACCGGCGGCAGGGGAGGATGTGTCCCTGAGCTGGAAGGAGCTGTGGCCCCTTGGTCTGAGAGCTGACGCAGGACCACCGACTCTCTGTGGGAAGGCAGGTGAAGGTCGCAGCAGGGTCTGGCTTGCTTTTACCTGGAGGGGCACCACCCTGGACATCAGGTGGTCAAAATAAAGGTCCACTGCTTCGGTGAAGCCCTTGTAAGTTGTTCTCAGCTTCATGCCAGAGTCTTGGAGTAACCAGCTTGAATTAAAAAAAAAGAGGTGGTAATTAGTTCCACTGTTTGTGGGTTTGCTCTTGGCAGGGCGATGGTGGGGTGGAAAGGGAGCAGCCTCAGAGCACCCAGGGATGAGGCTGGAGACCACCCCCACCCACGCCCACCACTCAGCCGGAAGGGCGGTCATTCCAACGGACCACCACGCCAGGGAGCACCTGCAGCCCAGCCCCCGCCCTGCGCTCAGCTCTGCTTCCCTGACCGAGGACACCAGCCCTGGGGGCGATCTGTGTCCAGCTTCGTGGCGACAGGCCTGGCTGCCGGGCAGAGGGAGAAGAGCTTCCCACTGGACGCAAGGCCCCGTTTTCAGGCTCTGCCTCCACAGTCTCATGACAGGCGTTAGGCCGGGACTGGAGAACACAGAGGCAGCCTCCCGAGTCGACCAGAAAAACAAGCCTGAAACCAAGGCTGCTCCTCCTGCTCCAGTCCAGCTGCGGTTCACGCTGACCTGGCTCATTTGCATCATTTGCATCAGCTGTTCAGAGCTCAGCTCAGGGAGTGAGCAGGTGAGCTGAGCGAGACGGTTAATTCTTCCCACAGCCGGTCTGCGGTGACCCCATGTCCCAGAGGATCACGGAGCATTAGTTCCAGAGCGGGACTCCAGGTATTGTCCCATCTCATTTGAAATTCTGAGAAAAGACTTAGTATTTTCTTACAAAGGGCTCTTACAAAAGGTCCCGGTTTAGAAGTACTGCACAGGGTCAGAACACTATCAGTCTGTGTTAGGTCAGAACGGATAGGGACAGAGCTGTCTCCTCGGGGGGACACCTCCGCCTTCCTCCTCGCCTCGAGCAGGTCCACTTCTCCCTCCACTGCAGGCTGCCTGCTGCCCGGCGCACCCCTCGGCCTGCCGGGGGCTGCCTGCTGCCCGTCCTCCCTGCACCAGGGCCTGAATGGACAGGGCTGCACAAGGAGGTCTGAGAGCTGAATGCCTCGCTGCCTCTGAGCTAAGTAAGACTTAACCCCCGGCCACCTGTCCCGCTCTGGCTGAGCCGGAGGTTTCTTGCTGACACAGGGTTTCCTAATCCCCAGTGTGGGGAGGCCCCTCCGGCTGTGTCCACAGCCTTGCTGCGGGCGCCTCGCCAAGCTGAATGGCGCAGCGACAGAGAAGTGGTCTTGGGCAGTGAGGAGATGGAGGCAGAGCCTGCCGGGCCCCCGGGGCAGAGCTGGTAGTGCTGGAAACAGAGGAAAACAAGGCGGAGGTGGTGGCTGCGCGGTGGGAGCAGGGTCCCGCAGGAGACACTGCAGCCAACAGGATCGGCCGCCCCCGGGGGGCGCACGGCGTGGAGGAAGAGCAGATCTAACTGCCTGGAACGCGCAAGGGTGGGAAGGGTTACCCCTACTGACAGGAATGTCTTTTTTTTTTAAAACTGAGGCGACACTGGTGAGGAAGGGGATGAACGTGGCACCAGGAGACCCTGCTCCACTCACGCAGTGCCCCATGGACATCAGTGGAGACCACACACCCTCGGATCAGTCACTAGGGCCTGAGATGTGAGGATAAGAGATGACAACAAAAGCAATAATCTGTTTCTCTTACACTTGATCAAAATACTTGGACTTTAAAAAATAAATGCGATGGCATCCCTAAGAAACAGAGAGGCAGGTCTGAGGTGTCCTATTCGGGAGGCAGGACAGCCCGGCCCAGAGCCAGTGCGTGGCCTGGCTGAGCGCCAGACTCGCAGCGGAGCCCTGAGCCTGGGGAAGCGCACGGCCTGGGACGGCCAGTCCTCCGCCACGTGAACACCACAGGGAACTGGACAAGGACAATAGTGGTGACATCATTTAACATGACCACCTTTGGGTGCTACTTATTCTGAAAAGGGACTTCAGTACAAAATGGAAAACTATACTTTAAAAGCAAATTAAACCTATGTGTGTGGTCCATATTTTACATGAACTGTGGCCAGAGGCCCTCATAGCCCCGCTCACCTGGGCAAGCCGCCGAGGTCGACCTCGCTGCAGATGTAGGGGCCTGGACGCAGAATCACCCACAGCCCAGTCTCCGCAGCCATCCGGACAAAGGCCCTGCGAAGGTCAAGGTCAGCAGCTCTCAGGACATCCCAGCGGAGGGCGGGGACCAGCCCGGCACCCAGGCAGGTGGCAGAGATGCCCGGGTCCCCTGCTCGCCTGCCTCGCTCTCCCCACCAGAGCCCGCGTGAGTGAAGGGAAGGCCGAGCCCCTGCCCCCAGCAGGGCAGGCCTCCCACACCGGTGGTCCCAGGCCCCAGGCCCCGGCAGCTGGGCCCTCCACGCCTCCCAGCCCAGGACCCTCTGCGCAGCCCACTGGGTCCCAAGGAGGACGGGCGCCAGACGGGGACGAGGGTCCTAACAACGAACCCGAGCCCAGGGGCCTTGCTGCCCTCCAGAGCCAAGCCCTGTCCGGGCACAGGGGGCTGGACCCCACGGCAGAGCAGGCCGACCCGGGTCAGGCGCCCCAGGGCCGCAGTAGGGGGCTCAGAGGACGCAGGCCTGGACACCGGGGGTGACGGGCGCGCTGGCGGGCGTCGGGTCCGGGCGTGGAGCCGGCCAGTGTCCAGAGAACAGGGCTTTGCCCCCAGGCCCCGTCTGGTTCTACGGGCAGAGCTGAGACGCCACTGGGGTCCCTGACAAACCCCAGCCAGCCCCGCCCTGCCTCCCAGGCCCAGGGCCGGTCACAGAAGCGGCAACAGCACGTACTCGAGGTCCAGGTTCCCGGAGAAGTCAAACGCGCCGCGGTGCGGCTCGTGGAGGTTCCATGGGACGTAGCTGGAACGGGAAAGGTAATTTCATGCATAACCTTTTCATTTATGCCACTTCATCTCCCGGATTACCTTCTTCACCCCTAAAAGCCCTCATGGTGGTTAAAGGTGTGTTTCCTAGGTATCGTGTCTCAGTGACTGGAATCAAGTCAGGACTGGAACCAAGAACTACGTGGAGAGACGAGCAGCCTCAGAGCACCAGGGCCAGGCCCTGGGGCACGAAGCGCACCCCTCCTCAGGGGGAAGGAGAGAAGGCCGACAGGACGCGCAGAGGTGGGGGAAGCACAGGACAGGACCACAGGGCGGCTTGGGCTGTGCTCCCCTCCTCCCACCCTCCTTCCCTCTCTCTCTTCACTGGAGAAGGAGAAGCACCACCACAGGAAAGACAGTTAAAAGTAAAGAAGAGAACACAATTATCAGTCCCATTTTTCACTGAAGCATCCAACTCCAAACCCTCTGACAGAATGGAGCTCCTGACTCTGAAGAGATGAGGAAATGAAGGAAGTTCCCTAAAGGCCGACTCAGGAGGTACCGAGTGACCTGTGACGACTGGAATGACAGCCGCTTCCCTCCCGGGCTCCCGGCCCCTGTGACGCGGGGCGGGGCGGGGGCCTCTCCAAGCAGAGGCTGTGTACAGGCAAAGGGGAAGGGGGGCTCGTGCGCGTCGACTGAGACCCCGCAGAGCCATGCGTAAGCAAACACAGATTGTCCTGCCTTCATAAGGCAGAACGGTTGTCCTGCGCTGTTCCCACAAGTCTCAGGGGTCCTGTAGGGTGGGACTGGCCCCCAGGAGCAGAACTTACATATGCAAATAAAGATCCTTCTAAGGACTCTAGGTAATTACACACATTTGTTTCAACAGTGTCGTCACAGCTCAGAATATTCCTGTAACTCTTTTTAGAAACGTCTTCAAAGTCTGTTTATGAACCACCCAAGAAAATCCATGTTCTCGATTTGTAGTTACATTTTTGCCTGCAAACAGAATTCAGCCTGATAACCCGCTTTATTTCCTAGACATGGATCCAAATCCCTGCTGGCATTTTGAAAAATACACGAAAAGATCAAAATTTGATCGCCATGAGCCCATTTTTTAAACTGAATTAATTCACTGTGTGAGATGCTAGAATGAAAACTTCAGCATTCTGAAGATAATTCTGAGAGGAAACGCTGAAAACTGCTGACAGACAGTTCCCCAGGTAGCTATTTTGAAGAAGACCACGCTCGTTTACTGTATAAATTGGGGGTGGAGTGCTTTGTTTAAAAAAAAAGCCTAATAACTCAGTCGAGTCCTACATCTATACTGCCCTCCTCTACGCTCCTCCGGCGAACACAGGTGCTCTTGCTGGTCCCAGACGTATTTCTGTTGCCTGGCTCTCGCTCCCCTAGTGGGGGCGCTGCAGGGATCAGGAAGAAGGGCGACTCCCTTCCCGTCAGAGGCTGCTCGGATTTAGGCCCTGCCAGGCCTCCCCCGCCCCGGCGCACGGGAAGCCCCCCAGCTGGGCTCCCACGGAGAAGCCCAGACACAGGCTGGGGCCCCATGGGGGGGGGCAGGCTTGGCAGGGGCTGGGGGGCGGGCGGCACTCACGTGGTGAGGGTGTTCAAGCCACAGGCCTTCATCTTCAGCAAGCGGTCCCTCCAGTAAGCCTTGGGCACCCGAAAATAGTGCACGGAGCCCCCCAAGATCCAGAAGGTGGAGTCCTCCAGCATAAAGTTCTGGCCCTGGGTGTGCAGCCCGGACTGCCGGCGTCTCCATGAGGGAGAGAGCAGACGGTGCCAGTCCAGCCTGCAAAATGGAAAGGCAGCCAGGAGGCCTGGAGGCTCGCCTGCGGGGCGAGCAGGGGCACCGCAGAGACGGGCTTCCTCTCCCCCTCGCGGGCCCTCAGCATCTCTTCCTAAGGAGGGCCCGTTTCCAGGGCCTTCAGAAAAAGCTCCCACCCTCCGCCTTAGCCCACCCTTGGGAGGAGTCTTGCGTCAGCCCCGCTGGCTCCTCTGGCTGCCTGCCAGGGAAGAGCCAGCGGAGGCCGTGCTCAGGGGCGAGGCCGACGCAAGGGGGACGTGGAGACAGCGCTCGCAGGAGAGGGCACGAGGCGGGCGCACAGTGCGCAGGACGGCAGTGCTGGCAGGCCAAGGAGCTGCCCTCAGGGGCTGGGGACTCGGGGGGACTCGGGGGGACTCGGGGGCCGGTCTCCTAGGCCCTCTGACTGAACCTCAAACCAGCAACTGCTTCCGATAGTACCTCTGAGCCACCTCACGGTCACAGCTGCCCTGCTCGAGGCGCAAATACCTGTAAGGAGGTATCTGGGTTAGAAACAGCATCTAGTCATTAACCGCATTTCCAGGTCTTACTTATCATCTAAAGATCAAGTGTCTTTTTGGCCAAGAAATCATCCTGCATGACAGAAAGCCCCACCTGGCGAGGCTGTCGAAAAGTGTTAGTCCCTGAAAAAGCACCTTTTGGCATCTCTCGCATTGGCCGAGAGGAGCCCGTGACTCGGCGCTCTCCCCCGAAGGCCGCAGAGGAAGCCGGCAAGAGAAGCCAGGGGAGCCAGAGCTTCCAGCCACAGAGCCTAGGAAGCCGGGAGACAGAGAACGGCGGGAGCGAGTCTGGTGCAAAAGCAAATTTTCATTGGTGCCTTTTCTATACCCACTTCTCACTACAGTTCCTGACACTAGAGGGCACCTGCCCCCAGGGCTCCTCTGCTTAAAAAACAAACACAAAAAAACAGAACGCCTCCCTAACCTGCTTCTGGTCTTTCCATTCCTTTGTTTACACCCACTAAAATGGTACCCCTGGGGCATGTGCCTGGCTTGAGGCCAGCTTAATCCATTCGATCAGTATCGAGGCACACTGATGGGGGACTGTCCTCTCTCAGAAGGAACAGACGCGTGTGAACCCAGAGTGGGTGAGAGCAGCCATCTCGATTCTGGATTCAGCAACTTCCTGTGCCTTTCAGAGCGGCAGCTCCTTCCCAAAGCTTCCATATGGACCCACAGCAGGCGTCTCGGGGGAACGGGGCACAGGCGAGTCACACACCCTTTGCTGACTCTCCCAGTGTGCTCACGGCGTGTCCCACGGTACCTGCTCTCTCTCCATCTCGGCCACCAGCACTGGCCCCCTGCTTACCTATCAGCCAGCTTCTCCGCTACCTACCATGCCAAGTGCTTCAGGGCTGAGTGTGAACGTGCACACCCTGCACTGTAGAGCAGCGAGAGCCCTGCTATTCATGGTACCTCCGCTGACACCAGCGGTTAGTGAACACCTATGGCAGCTTGCTCCTGCCCCTCGGGAAGCTCACTCCCCTCCCACCCAAGTTCCTCCAAACCACCGGTTACGGGGTTACGGTCCCTATAAGGAGCTCTGATACAGCGTCTTCTCCACCGCCCTGCACACTCTGGTAATTGCACTTCGGTGCCGCTAATGCTGCTGCAAGGGGCACACAGATAGGACCAGGGCCAGGAGAGGCGGCGGCCAGGAGGGCAGCATGGGCCACAGACATCGCTGACCACGTGGCCACTCGTGGGCAGAGAGGATACATGGTCTGCAAAGCTGCACCTGTTTCCTACCTGGCTCTGCACCGGAAGCCTTGCCACAGAGCGTGAGGCCCTGGATAATAAAAGGAGGCCCCAGGCCCCGGTGGCCACCGTCCAGGCCTCTTTCTAGCCACAGGTCTTCCCGCCTGGCTCTTTCCTTTGGCTAAAGCTCCTGATTAGTCTGGTTCTTCCCCACACCTCATGCACAGGGGAGTTCATCTCCCTTGGTTTTGACTATAACTGCTCCAAAGGACGCACTCTGCCTTCCTGCTTCCTCTGCCCCCAGGCCTCCCACGTTCCCCAGGCATGCCCGACGGCCACCCCCGGCTCTCCCCAGCGAGAAAGACCTGGACGGCAGGTTCCTTCCTTAAAGGTAGGGACATACTGGCATCTGGCATAGAAAATGCTCTCATATTCATACTCTCTCTATTTTAAAGACAGTTCAAATACAATTTAGCAATCATTCGACCAGGTAGCAATTCTTATTCACCGGCCAGAACTTCCGAAGAACCACCTCCAATGCTTCACCAGGCTCGCAGGACTGATTCTAACTTTTGTTTCCGACTGTGCTGCGAGGCTGTGCTGTAGGAAAGGTGACTCTCTGTGACTCCCTCATTCCCACATCGTCCCTGCTGGTCACACACACTCCCAATGTGTCCCCGGCGAGTAACTAGTCATCAGGACACTTCTGTCCAGGTTTACGTCTCCAGGCCATCTGGAGCTTGCTACAAATGCAGACATGCAGGTCTTACCTGGGGCCGACTGAATGAGAGTCTGCATTTCTACCAGACCCCAAGGTTAAAATTTGAGGAACTCTAATCTGTACCTTCTCCTCTGACACATGGAAAAGGTGTCTTCCTAGATAGAGCTTCTCTTACCCAGTGTTTTTATATGCTATCATTTGCTAGACTTCTGTAAAAAATATTTTCTCTCAGTGTGCTTATTAAGCAGCATGAAATTAACACTGCGAACAACAAAATACCAAATTCTGGAGACTTCAACTGTTTCCTTTCTGAAAATTACTGGTTACTAGATGAGTTTTTAATATATTAATAAAATGGATGAATTCACTGAGAAAATGAGGTTGATAAATGTGGGGTTTTTGCAAGGAATTCACTGTGAGAAATGAGATGATACACGTTAGAGCGTCACAGACAACAAAGTACCACGCAAATGGGCATTAACGCTGAGAATGATCATTAGCACTAATAATAACCTCCATCCTTTCCTGAGTAATTAACTCCATGCTCCTAGAATAAATATGAACTGTGCGGTTAAATCAGGTCAGGGAGATGCTCCTTATCAGTTAGGCTCTTTACCAAGGAGCTTAACCAAATCTGAGGAAGAGAAGAGGCTTGTTTGTTTGTTTGTTTTAAGATTTTATTTATTTTCAGAAAGAGGGGAGAAAGGGAGAGAAACATCAGTTTCTCGGCGGGTTGCCTTTCACATGCCCCCAGCTGGGGAACTGGCCCATAACCCAGGCAGGTGCCCTGACAGGGAATCACACCGGTGATCTTTCGGTTTGCAGGCCGGCACTCGATCCACTGAGCTACACCAGCCAGGGTGGAAGACATTTTTTTTACTGTTGCTTTTCTAGGGAGCAGTTCATTCACGATGGAACTCTTCTTGATGAGCCCAGCAATATCAAGCTTCTTCCTACCTGGAGCTTATATTTACACTTCCTTCTGGAATCTCTGTTGCCTTTTAATCCTTGCTTCATTGGAGGGTAACTTTTCAGTCCGAGAGTAAACAGCAGCAGGCCCCGGTCCCCGAAGGGGCCGCCCTCAGCTTTGCGTGGCTCAGAGGCACACGCCGTTCACAGCCCACAGTGGGGATCCTGGAGAAAGGCACACATGCCAGGGCTTCTGGTGGGGCCTCACCCAATATAACGAGACCTCCACACTCTTGCTGCCACCATCCCTTTTGGCAAGTGCAAGCCGGAGTCACTAAAGGTTGTAATGGAAACATTGAGCCAAGGACTTGCAGACTGAGATCCCTACGGTGAGAAACTGTCATTAGGTGGTGACTGGTGAGGGAGAAGGGACAGAGGGATGAACCCTTATGCTTCACCGATCATAGTAGTGGGTCACGAGGACAATGGGTGCAGGGCAGGCTCCACGTGGGCTGTGTCGCTGCACACAAAGTGCTGGGTGGACGTGTCTGCATGGAAAAGGGCAGATGAGCAAGTGGCAGGCTCACGACCTCTTCCCCGTGAAATGGGCCTCTAAGCTGACTCTCAGCTTTCAGAGAGGGTCTTCCAGAGGGCACTCCTATGTCACCCCTGCAGACACTGATCAGTAACCGAGGTCGTGGTGGGACTGGGGAGCCACACCTGCAGTTGCAGACGTCTCCTTCCGTCTTCTGTCACGCCGCGCACAGTCTGCCCAGGTTCAGACAGGCCCGCATCCGCACAGCCTGACATGGCAGGGACAGCGTCGTCAACTTCTGGAATATCACACAATTTTCAGCTGGCCAAGGGGGTGGGCCAGCTGGGTAGATGAGGTGGGAATCTGCTTAAATAGTCCTTCCATCCCACAACATAAGCCCCTGCTGGTCCCAAGGGTCGGTTATTTTGGCACTGACCGTAACGTGTGTGTTCCTGCTAATCTGAGACAATGATTTTATGAATCCAACTTTCAGATGCACTGAGAGCCTACGAGGGCCACCCTAAGCAAAGGTTCCACTCAATCTGTGTCCAGGGCTTCATATCAAAGACGTGACCAAGAAAACACTCACCCAACAATTCGTTCATCCAAGTGGTCATGCCAGAGACCAGGAGATGGTACATTTGTTAAACGACCCCAAACACATCACACACAGAAGTTTGCTTACTTGGGTCTGAAATACCAATTTCTACCCATCACTCTCTCAAGGTCTGGATGTGGTTATAGGCCTCCATGAGGCCCCGTGTCCTGGGACATCCCTGACTGTCCACTCGGGGACATTTCAGTCTCACCAGTCTACAGCCCTGCACACACTTTCCCCAGCAGGGAGTTTGAGAGCCTAAGAAAGGCATTCTCCACCCTTGGCCCAGGGCAGCGCCCACTGTGCCTCGGCTGCAGAACAGGCCTCTTGGATCAATCCTTGAGCCGCAAGAACTCCAGCTCCGGGTAAATGGAACTCTGTCCCCGTGTCTGGCCCAGCTTCCTGGACATACTCCTGGTCCCAACGCTTTGGGCTTCTGCTTTGCTGGGAGAGGCTTCAAACACCTCCAGAGGACTTGGGCCTTCTGTTCCAGAACCGAGTACATTCATTTTGCAGAGATGCATTTTGCAGGTCCCTGGCACGACTACAATCCTAGCACCTCTGTCCTTCCCTCTGCAAAGACTTCTAGGTAAGTCAGGAGCTGGCCTGGCACTCAAGTTCCAGCAAGTAAGGCCAAGCGGCTGCCGACATGAGCCAGGGGCAGCTGGTAGTTCAGAGGCTGCATTTCCTAAATGCCGTCGGAAGTTTACATGCAGAGGAGCACTTACTAGGCCAAAACCTTAAGGCCCAGTTATAAAAGTATACAAACTCTTCATTAATAATCAACTACATAACAGCAATGAAAGGTGTCTTGAAGCTATGTGACAGTGTATTTCCACTTTGGGAAAATGTTCCATTGATAGCATCATAAATAGAAAAGGTGTCACATCTCAACCTAGCGGGAGGTGCAAAGTCTGACAGAGACCCAAAAGGCTCTCTCTACTGGTAACAAGACTCCAATTTTAGAGACACTTGTGGAATCGGAATGAAATGATTTCATGAAATGGGGACAACATAAACATGCTAAATATTTCTTAAATCCACCACATTGGACTTATCTACATAGATATATGAGAAAGGGGCTCATTCTTACAGGACACAAAGAATTCATACACATACAGGTTACATAGAATTTCCTTCCCGCTCAGACAATGGAGCTCACAACCTCCTTCATGCTGATCCAGCAGAAATAGAATATGCTATTTTACTCACTTATTTTAACTTACTTTAACTGTCTGTCAAGATTTAAAATGAATATCTCATATGGTCAGCAATTCTACAGACAGAAATATATCTAACTCATTGCAACTTTGTTTGCAGCAGTTAAAAGATGGCCAAGAACTAATACTCATCACTAGGGGATGTTTAAATAAATTATGTTCCAGAAGGACAAATGGGGTCACACACATAACTGTCTTCTTGTATACACACTGAATTCCCTGAGAAAAACTGTGACCATGAATCACCTCAGGTAAGGGGGACAGGGTGTCTGGAGCTGGGAACGAGGGGCTTATCATCCCCTGTGTATTATTTGAATAGGTCATCCTTTTCCTATATTACCTACTCACAAAATCAACTTTACAGGAAGAACACGTGTGTTCTTGAAAGGAACAGTCTGCTGTCTTGCTGAGTATGGAGTACAGAAGCAGTGAGTATCATCTGACATTAAAAACACCCCTACCAGCTAATGAGCAAAATAGAATCACAGGCTCGGACACACGGAACAGACTGACAGCTGCCAGAGGGGTGGGGCCAGTTGGAGGCTGGCTGAAAGGTGAAGGGGTCACCCCAAACACACACGCGCGGCCCACAGGCATGGACCACGGAGTGGGGAGTGCCTGAGGGAGTTGGGGGACGCGCTGAGTGGAGGGGGCAAAAGGGGAAAAATTGGGACAATGGTAATAACATAAACAATATAATTTATTTTTTTTTAAGAAAAAAAGCAGAACAAATACAAAAACAAAACACAAAAAACCCTTACCCGTCTATCCTAGGAGAAGTCTACACAATGGGACCCCTTTTTCAATATGGCCTTTAATATCCAGAGAAATAGATTTAAGCAAAAGATAAAACTGAGTGGAGAGGAAGCAGCAAATACCCCAACACCGAAAGAACTCCGCCGGCTAATGGCGGGGGCGGGGTGGAACTCCGGAGTCCTTTCCAGGTACAAATGTTCTACAAAGATCTCTCTCAGCTCCAACATCTTCTGAATCCTCATCAGAAGAGCACTCAAGGTGATATAATGGAACTCTGAGTCATTTCCTCCAAGATTAAGTACTTTTTTCACTTGCTTCTTCCTTGATCTCAGGTGGAGAGAACTCTTGGACCAACCTTCTGATACTTCTGCTGTCAAGGCTACGTAGCTCTTTGCCCTAAATCTCCTGGGTACGCCAGTCCCTTTAATCACAAATACACCAATAATGTCCACGTTCGACTCTGGTCCCCTTCTGTCGTCGGCCAGCATGGCACTGTGAGACCCCCAGAGCCAGAGCGGCTCCGACACTCCCCTCCCCCTGCCTGAGCCATGCTTCCCCTCCTGTCAGGGCTACCTGCTGGAAAAGACACTTGCCAGATGTGGAAAACTTCACTATTACAAGATGAAAGGGCCAGCGTGCAAAGAGGTCAAACATTCCAGGGACTATGACTCAGGCCTCAAGCCCAGCAGAGTCCTGGAACAGGCGAAGCTCATAAAAATCATTGACCTCCCAGAAGTCCAGGAAGCAAGGCACAATTCGTCCATGTACCCTAGGAAGACAGGACAAGCCATGACCTGGATCAAAGAAAGTGACCTGGTCACGTTGCTAAGTTATTCACCTCCAGCAAAGAGAAGCTTGACAGGTTCTCCTCCTGGAATGCAGATACCATCAGCGCAGGAGCAGTGAATGCAATAACTGCGTGAAGACATGAACTTGTCCTTGAGGGGCATGGAGCAGGCTGCCCACGGGGCTGCTTTCCTCTCCCCTGGCCTTGCTTTCCTCTCCCCTGACCTCTGCCAGCTAAAATCTCAGGTATGAGAGAAGCAGAATTAATTCAATTATTGCTCAGTGATGCATTTTTATTAAGAAAAAAACCAAAAGTGGGAACTGTGCCTTGATTCTATCAAGCAGGCATTCTTGTGGGGCAGGAGGAGGAAAGAGAATGAAAGGTACGCGACTCAGAGACAGTTCTCATCAATACACGCATCACGGACCTCAAAGTGATACGCTGAGTGAAAGACGCCTGACCAAACAGAGCACATACTTCAGGACTACAGTTCTATAAATCACTAAGAAATTCAAACCAACATACGGTGGTGGAAAGCAACAGATCAGTGAGCTCGGGGCCGAGGGGACAGAGGCATAGGAGAGGGGTGCAAGGCCGTACAGGGAAATCTCTGGGGCTCATGGAGACGCGCTATCTTAATTATGGTGGTGATTTCATAAGTGGACCTATATGTCAAAACTTAACAAGCCTTATGTGTTAAAAGTGCAGCTTATCACATAACAATTACACTACAATAAGTTTTTTTTTTTCAAAGACTATTGTTCAAGCTAACAAACTGAACATTGAAATCCTCCTCAAAGTCATCTTGGTTCTTCTATTTCTTGCACACGATGTAATCAAACAGCTCTGATTGACCGTGAACCAGCACAAGATAAAATTCACAGAAGAAAACATGAAAAGCTGCAGCCAAACAGTCCTCTCCCCTCTCCCCTCGCCCCCAAATGCCTGCCTTCGGAGGCTCAGGTAAAGGGCTCATCCCCACTGCTCAGCTCACAACGCTGCCCCAGCTGCCGGCTGAGAGCCAGGCCCTGAGGGACCCTATACCCCGTGACCTCTGTACCCTGGCCACAACCGCACTCCCAACAACCGCTGGGGGAGGCCCCCACCTCCTACGCAGTTAGTGACCCCTTCAGAGAGTTAAAGCAGGAAAAGGCCGTGACAATGAGCATGCTCTTCTCTGGCCTCCAGAGATAATCCGTGGTGTCCAGCCCACGCCAGACAGGAAGAATTGGGCAGAAAGTGCCCATGAGGGTGACCTGATCAAAAAGATGCCCAAAGACACATATTCTGAAGGCCCTTAAGAAATGGCCTGAACTTGGTTCCAAGCTTCTCTGGCCTCTGTCTTACCTGCTGGGAAAGAAGAGGCAGCAGGAAAAACAATGACTGTCCTAAGCACTTTAAGCTATTCCACGCTTTGAGCCACACCTATTCTTTCTCCAGTGCCATCCCCCGGCCATCCCAGGAGCTCCCACCGGACCCCTGCCGCGGTCACCCACCCAGGTGGGAGCACGGTCCATTCGCCTGCGAGAAGCTCAGGCTTCTTCACCGCCACTCCGATGCCTGACATCCCATCTTCTGTCCCACCAGACACCAACACGCGCCAGCCCCCTTCCGGGACTTTTTCCGGCGGACTGTCAGGGTGCACTTACCTGGCCCATCTCCAGCCCCTCAGTGCTGGCCCTCTCATGGCCTGTCTGGGTCCCCCGCATGGACTGCTATATCCCTGACCTCTAACAACTGGCGAATCACATGCTACTGAACACCTCTGGTCTTCCTCTCAGGGTGGGGTCTCCCTGAAACCCTGTGTGCCAGAGGCTCCCGCTGCCTCTGCCCTGAGCAGTTCTTCCGGGGTTTGCATCAGCCTTGCTCCCAGAGGGCTGATCATCTACAAGATCCAGGAGCAGTCTTCAAAGGGGAAAGGATTACACATCACGGACAAGATGGGGGACAGGAAGAAAAGAAAAAGCCTTAATAACAACTGGGGAAACAATGGTTCTTAAGTTTTCTGTGCTCCAGACTGAGAAGAGCACCAACTTCTTTTCCCAGACAGTAGGCCATCCTTACCGTCTCCGAAACAAAGAAGACATGTTAGGTCTCGAAAAAATATAAATGGAAAGAGTTTCTGGATGTGTTGCTGTGGCAGCCAAAAACATTCCGAAGCCATCAAAAATTTCCCTCTGTCTCCCAGAGGAAATTCAGAGAAACTGAGAAGAGTGATAAGGAAGAAGAAAGGATCAGGCAGAGGGGTAGTGCACCTGCCCCCAGTTCCAATGGCTCAGCCTGCAGCCTCTTCACACTAACTTTCAGAGCCAAAGCATTTGTTACTGATGGCCTGCTTTTCCAGCGACACTGGAAGTTTTGAATATGGAAAGTGCCCAGCATCTGCCTGAAAGACATGGTCAGGGCTGTGGAATCCTACAAACAGGCACAGATTAGAAAAATTCTGGGCCGGGGCCCCTGCACAGGCCGTGGATTAAGCACTCTATCGCTAGACGCAATCACTTGCCACAGACATTTTGTGAGGGGAGCTGGGGACCGGTGACTGGTGGGAAGGCGAAAAGTGAAGACCAGTCCTAGAACGGGGCCCATCAACCCAGGGCCGAAGATCTCGGAGGCCCCGTGGGGCAGCGTTCCCAAGACCGGCCTGGGCAGGCTAAACCGGCCAGAGCTGAAAGCACCGGAGCTCTGGCCCCTGCTGACTAGAGAAGCCTCCCAGGGGGGTCGGTAGGCAACGTAGGGACCTGGGAGAACAGCAGGAGGGCGTCCCCAAGGAGAACTGGAGCGGGGGCAGTGATGGGCAGTGATGGGACGTCGGGGAGGGATCTGAAGGCTACTTTTGCTGACTTTCCCAGGGGGCTGGGAGTATCCACGAGAAAAGGAGAGCTCGGCCTCACGGACGCGGAGAAGGCGTGGGGAAGCTCTCGGGCACAGACACCTGGGGACCAGGAGGGCAGCGCCTAGCGTCACCCACAGGCCTGGATCTCGAGGCAGAACCTGAGTTCCTGGAGTCGCAGCGCGACGCCGGGACGTTGGGGAGCGCAAAAAAAAGAAGCGGCTGGCAGCCTGTGCCCGGTGGGAACTCGGGATTCGCGGGTTGCGGCCACGCGAACTCCGAGGGCTGCCTCCCTCCGGTTGGAAGGGAGCCAAGAACTCGAGGTGCGGAGGGTCGGGCTGTCTGCAGCCGGGAGGGATTCCCTCACCTGCGGAGCACCAGGAAACTCACGATCACCAGCAGCAGGAGTCCGAACGCGCGGCAGGGCCTCCGCGGGACACTCCACGTGGTCATCGCGCGTTCGCGCAGCGCGCACAGTCCAGGCTCCCGCTCCAGCCAGCACTCCTCCGCGCGCCGCGGGCTCGGCGCGGGGCGCGGCCCCGCTCCCTGGTCGCTCGGGCTACCGGGCGTTGGCCCGCGGCCCCGCCCCCGCACCGCAGGCCGGGCGGAGCAGGGGCGGGGCCTTCGTGAGGACGGCGGGCGGTGGATTCGCAGCTCCGCGACGTGTTCCCGGGCTTCTCCTGCCTGCTTTCCCGTGGTCTGGGAGGCACGCAAAGTTTCAGAAGCTGGTTTCCTGCACGTAATATGCAAACACGTGTAGGTGTAGAAGTACCGAGCGCGGGGTGCCCAGTCCTTGAACACGGGTTGAATGAGCGCGGAGGTCAAGTCACCCGCACCGCGCTGCGTTAGCAGGCGTATCAAAGGCGTCTGCAAAGCCAGCGCAAGCTCTTAAAACAGTTCCGAGCGTGAAGAGAAATAGTTTTGAAATAGTGACTTATGATGTGAAAGAGAACATTGTAAAATTTCCTTCAGACGTATTTAATGGCTGAGTGTGATTCATTGAATTATCATGGGGATGGGAATGCGGGCCTAACGGTGGGGTGGGCATCTTTGATTTCCACAAATCATTTCCTCGTCCTAACTCCCAGCACGTTTAAGTTTTTATTCAGATAAAAAAAAAATTCAGACAAAACCCTCACATTTTAGAAAAAAAGACGAATGAAATTATCTTATTCTAAATAGAATTATGTCACAAAGGACATTGTGTAATATTTGGACAAAACTTAGGCTTTATCACAAACCCAACATCCCAAGAACAAAATTCAGGTATTACTGAAAGAAAATGTAAAACATTTTCTAGGGAGGCTAATGTGTTTTCAGAGCATCAGGGTTTCTAGAAAAGATCCCATTGCATGTTTTAAAATCATTTCCTACACTTGTACGCAGTTTTGAACTTGTAAAGCTGATAGTAAGAAAATAGGATTTTGCTTCTCAGAACAAAAATACAATTTAGTGTGAAAGGTCCTTTTTCTAGCAGTAAGCAAATACTTAGTCAAGTAGCAAAAGTTAAACCAAGGAGAGGTAAAAAAAAAAAAAAAAGAAAGAAAGAAAGAAATGAACAGGGGTTGAGGGTGGGGGGTCTGCCGCAGTGAAAGAGGGAGGACAGGAGGGGCCTTGCACAGCCAGTTCCGACTGCCGGGCTGGGCCGGGCCGGGCCGGCCGGAGCCGCTCCGCGGGACCTGCGCTGAGGAGCCGTAGCTCCTGCTGAACACATTCTCCAAGATCATTGGTGCCTTTTCTTTATTTTTTAAAACATATAATTGCTTGATAGTTGTTAAGACTATGATGAAAATATTTTGGTATAATTTGGATAAAGTTTAGCGCATGAGACATATGGAACAAATGTCAATGGCTGACCCTCTTTCTACCTGTGGATGCCCATCCCAGACACACACCCCACCTTCACCCTCTCTGCTGGCGAGTCAGCGGTGCAGTTGATTAAACATCAGGGCATCCTTAAGTTATTGAAACAGGAACGGCCTCTCAACATTGTTTAAGCATTTGTAAAAACGTGGTAACGTGATCTACAAAACCGTGACGTGCTTAGTCCATTCTTGTGGCCTTTGTTTTTATTTATGTGAGAAAAATGTAAATAAGTGCTTCAAAAATAATGATTACCCCTTAACTTTCTGGGAAGTGCAGAACTATAGACACACCCTACTTGCTGTTTATGGACAGTTTTACTTTGTCTGGGCTTGATGCCAAGGAGAATGCTACAAAGATTGCATTAATCTGAGATGACTTTTGCTGAGGACCCTAGACTTTCAGTTTTTATAATATTAGCAAGATACTCTTGAGCTACTCCTTTCCAGAATGTTTAATGATCTTAACCCAAAGCAGAAAACGAAATACTCAAGTCCCTGGGAACAGAAGCCACAGTTTAAAAACTGGCCTGATGGGGATATACACAAAGAGACCTGGCAAGGTGTGTGGATGGGAAGGAATCCGGATACACGGGAGTCGCCTTCCCAGGCCACCTTTCTGCTCTCAGGGTTCTGGTATAGAAAAAGAAAAGAAATGCCCTTTAAAGAAAATGAAGCCATGTTGTTGTCGTCAGCCCGCCGCAGGAAGTCAGCGCTCCAACAGGCCCAGAGAGCAGGGTGCCTTTCCTGGGAGTCCGTGCACCCCCTAAGCCCTGGGGAATAGAAATGTACACCAAGAAGCACAGGGCAGAGAAAAAGCTGCAGTCATTCAGAATCAGTTCAGTGGACACACGCAAGAAAAATAACGCTATCCAACTAACCTCGTTGGCTGTTTTACTTTTTATTTTTTTGTAGGTACCAAATAGATTTATAGATCAGTTATTCATTCACTCACATATCTCATTTTTTTAGTGCACTGTGCTAATGCCTTATATGTAGTATATCTGAATTTTAGGAAACATTTGATAAAATTTCTCTTTAAGTCATGAGGACAAGATGCAGAATGTGGCTTCTGTGATAGTATAGTCATTCGGGCCCCTGGACCATGGTATAGCAACCTCTTCCTTCCATGTCCGTATGAACAGACGCTGGGCCAGCCCTCTCTGCTCACGCTCTCCTGCCCCTTTCCTCAGGGTTACAAGAGGAGGCCAGTTATGATGTGACATTGTTAAAGAGTCTTGAGCAAAGAAATTAAGAATAACGGAGGGCAATCTCAACCCATGACAAAAATGTAGGAAGTTCTGGAAAGATTTGATCTTGGAAAAAGAAGAAGGAAAACAGATACATGTTAAGATAGGTAGTATGAACAAAAAAACAAAACAACAACAACAACAAAAAAAACCTTTCATGGCCAAAAGCTTTAAAAAACAACAACGGTTTTTTAGGCCATTGCTAGCAAGAAAAACAACAACAAAAAACAGGTGCTGGGACTACAACATGAAACACCAGCAGCAGGGCTCTGGGGACGAAAAAAGGAGTTCTATGGAAAGTAACCTTGCAGGGTGATCTGATCATAAATTCCCAACTGGCCAGGTCACACCCCAGGCACATAGCTTTGTAGTAAAAGGATTATCTTTGCCGTAAGCAAGACCTGTCCATGGTTTCGGTGCATCTAGGTTACCACCTCTTTGAAATAAGCCGTAACCACCCTCAAGAGAGCACAGAGTCTTATTAACTGTCCTGGAATCTACTCCTCGCCTTGCTTTCTTGCACCTCATGTAATCGCCCTTGCATCCCCTCCTTAATTTCAAATGTGTAAAAGAAGCTTAAAGTGTCCATCTATAGATTTAATGCAACCCCTGTCAAAACACCAATGACCTTTTTCACAGAACCAGAACAAATACAGTGGTGCCTCGGTACTGGTTAACCCATTCCAGAACTCGTGAAGAGTGCCGAAATTGATGAGCAAGTGACAAATGAAGAAATGTTTTCTCTTGCTGGGTGGGGCCATGACCCATACAAGTTTTAGCAAGTGTGATGAGTTCTGAACAAGTGCCCAGTGCCGAAACATTTTTTTCTTGTCAAAATGCGACGAGTACAGGGCTTGACAAGTACTGAAGTCAATGGGTACCAAGGTATGACTGTATACAATAATATTGAATGTCAATTATAATTCACAATTTTTTTTTTAAAGCTGCAAAACTGTTATTCTCTGGAGCATTTGAGATCTTGCTCCCTGGCATATGTCATCAGTTTGGCTCAGATAAACTCTTGTAAAAATTCTCCACAGGTGTAGACATTTCTTACATCAACAATGAACATAGTCATCTGGATATTAATGCAAGGTTCCAGCATGCACTAATGTACGCAAACAATCTTTTGTTGGTTTTGCCCTGCAGTTGTCAATTGATTAACCTCTCTTGTCTCTTCTATCTACTTTCTGGCCCCCTGTAAATGAATTTAGGACATGTCAGAGTTTTCTCCTTATCAGTAGGCAAGTTTTCTCACCCCCAAAGATGTGTCAGTGGGACGGAAAGGGGCCTATGTACACTGGGGAAGGTGTACCGAATGTCATAGTCGGCCTTGGTAGCCTAAAAATATCATTTTTTATCCTCAACCATTGGAAAGCTAAAAAGCCAGAGATCTAATTCAACAGCATTTTATCTATTAAGAAGGAATCAGCAAATGTTTAATGACAGCTATATGTTAAACACTATTCTAGGTACTTGGATACATCCCTTTGAAACTTATATTCTAGCTGCAGAAGAAAGACAACAAAAATGAACAAATGAATGCATAAGTTGTAGAGTACGTTCAAAGATAATAAATTCCATAGGAAAAGAAAGTAGGTAAAGGAAGGCAGACAGGAGTGTGGTGGGAAGGGGCATGAACTGGAGAGGTCTTACTGAATGCTAATTGAACACAGACCTGGAAGAGGCGGGACTTAGCCAGGCACACCAACCTCTGGGGAAGGGCTCCTCGTGCAGAGAGAACCTCTAGTGCAAAGGCGCTCAGGCTGCGGCATGACACTGGGTTCCAGGAACCGCAAGGAGGTCCGTCCACATGGGAAGAGAGGGGAGGGCAAGGACTACAGGAGGTGGGGTCAGAGAAATGCAGGGGCCTCATCATGTAGGACCTTTCAGAGGGGTTTTGACCTGCATGAAATGTGGAGCCATCACAGGCTATGACATGATGTCAATTTTGCTTTAAAGATCGCTCGGGGTTCTGTGCTGAGAATCCCCAGGAGCAGGCAAGAGTGGAAGAAAGTGGAGCGGCTAGGAGGCTGCTGCGGTCATCCATGTGAGACCATGAGAGACGATGTCTCAAACCAGGGCGGCTACAGTGGAGGGCGTGAGACGTGTGGATTTCTAGAAATACTTTGGTAGCAAAGACAAGGATTGTTGTGATTCCTGAATTGTTTGCAGGGTAGGAGAAATAAAGAGGACTGAAGAATGACTTCAACATGCGGGGCCCGAGAAACTGAAAGAACTGGAGCTGCCCTTATCTGAGATGAAGGCTGTGGGGAACAGGTTCATAGGGGAATATCAGAAGCTCAGAGTGGGCTGACGGGGTTTGAGATATCATTGAGAC